AAAATGCGTTTCGTTTTTTAGTTGCTCCTGAATGGTTCGTTATCGCTTCGTTATAAAAAAAAATTAACGAATTTTTAACGAATTACGAAATTACGAAACGAAACCGCCCAACCCTAGTAGATATGCTCTATTTGGAATTCTGCAGGGATCCACTCAAGCCAAAGAAGAAAAGAAAGAAAGGAAAGAAGAAGGAAGGAAAGAGAGAAGGAAGAAAGGAGAGAAAAAAGGAAGGAAAAGAAAAAGGGGGAGGAAGGAAAGAGGTAGAGAAGGAAGGAAGGAGAGAAGGAAAGAAGAAAAGGGAAGAAAGGAAGAAAAGAGGGAAGGAAGGAAGGAAGGAGGGAGAGAGGGGGGGAGGGAAAGGAGAGAAAGAGGGAGGTAAGGTTGGCCACAGCAATGTGTGGCGGGTACAGCTAGTATATAATGTATAAACATTTATTGGGGCTCCATGAGAAATTTTTGCTTTAAAAAGAGCTCTCTGGCTGAAAAAGTTTGAGAACCCTGGTCTACATGATAAACAAGGAAAGTATTTGCTACTGCAAAATAAAACATTGGGTTGTGTGTTTTGATGAATTGCTGCTCCAACACCCTTTGACATATCCAATATGTATGTGAAACAAGGGGTGCATCTACACTGTGGAATTAATGCAGTTTGACCCCACTTTAGTTTCCATGATTGAATTCCATGGAATCGTGGCAGTTGTCATTTTACAAGAGCGTTGGCCTTTTCTGCCAAACAGTGCTAGTGACTCACCAAACTATAACTCCCAAGATCCCAAAGCATCGAACTGTAGCAAATCAAGTGCTGCCAAACTGCATGCATTCTACAATGTAAATTCACCATAGACAATGGATCTATCAGTATCCATGAACCACATTAGTACTTTCACATTCGAAGCAATAGAGTTCTACATGCAATCAGCTTGTGGACAAACAATTGAGGGGATGCCTTCTTGCAATTTTCTGTTTGCACCCAGTTAGCTACTTTTGAAAGTAGGATGTTGGCTCAGAAGTTGAAAACATTAGTATTTTGGAGAACAATACAGCACCAGAAACACTCGACTGACATGGAGAGTGGCCATTTTTGAGAATTTCTTAGAGTATATTCAAAATAAACAAAGCAAACAAGCAAAACATCAAAACAAGCAAACAAACAAACAAACAAAACTTTCCCTAGCTTTACTCTAAATTAGATGGACCTTTATTCTGAGTCAGTGGGATAAATACAGACCTTAAATACAAAGAGAGAACAACAGCCCATTGGTTTAATCTTCATAAGAAAAAAGAATTCTACTTTCTCCTGAGTCTAATGCACCATCGAATCTAATGTCCACCTCAATTTTCAAAACTCTGAAACCAAAAAAAGTATTTAACAGTATTTTATGATAGTTTTACTTGCTGAGGCATTAAGTGTTGCCAACTGTGAACTGCCCCGAGTCGCCTTTGGGCTGAGAAGGGCAGTATACAAATATGATAAATAAATAAATCAATAAATATTTGCTACCAAATGTAATGCTCAGCAGCAAAGTGTATTCTTTGTAATTTGACCCAAAAAGGTATACATCACAGTTACTGAATGCTTAGAATTCCCTCTTGAAAAACAAAAATGTTAGAACACCAGAGCTTCCAGCTCTGGTGGAAAAGAAAATATTTGGATACATCTATGTTGTAGAATGAGTCCACTTTAACCGCCCTGGCTCAATGCTATGGAATCATGGATATTGTAGCTTTAAAAGGTCTTGAGCCTTATTTGCGAAGGAATGCTGATGCCTCACCAATCTACAGATCCCAGAATTGCATAGCATTGGGCCATGACAATTAAATTACAGATGGCATATCTCAAATAGGAGCTCCAGGTGTTCTTGAAGCTGCTTTCCCTTTTGATTTGGCTCACCACTAAGATTACTATACAGCGCGAATCTAAAGCACATCCTAATTTTGGTAAGGTAATTTAGCCCAAAAAAGGTGAGCACTATATTCGAGTAGATAGGATGTTAGTCTGTGGCTAGTGTGGGGACGAGGGACAGGGCCTTCTCTGTGGTAGCCCACCGACTCTGGGACTCTCTCCCCAAGGACATCAGACAAGCCCCAACGTTGGCAGTCTTTAGGAAGAGCTTGAAGATGTGGCTGTTCCAGTGTGCCTTTCCAGAATAGGAAACTCGTAGCATCATGTCCCAAATGCACTTTATTAGAGATTTAAGATTGTCTGCACACCGCACCTACCTCTAAAAAACCTATACATTGTCCAGCACTTTTTAAATTTTATTCATTACATTTGGCTCAGTCTTAGTTTTAAATGTGTCATGGTGTTATTGTTCTAATGTTTATTGTTATTGCTTTAATGTTTATTGTTTTGTTTTATGGGTTTATTGTTGTATTTGTTATGCTGTTGTTTTATTGAGGGCCTTGGCCTTTTGTAAGCCGCACTGAGTCCTTTGGGAGATGTTAGCGGGGTATAAATAAAGTTAATAAATAATAAATAATAATAATAGTCAAATGGACAATGACTTATATCTCCTCTCTCCATTCTATTAGATAGGGGTCTTTTCTAGCCATATTTGCAGATGGTAGGAATTATTTTCTAAAGTGGCTATATTTTTTACTTAAAGCAAGTGATAAAATAAGAGAATGTACTATAAATAGGCATTTTCTGGACTGTTTCTTGTCGCATTTAATTTTCTTGGAACAGAGTAGTTCAGAAGAGTGATTGGGGTCACTACCCTGCTAACCAGCTTTCTGCAATATTTTCCATTTTTATGGTTTTCAAAATGATTGTCATTAAGTTATGACAGATGAAACCTAAGGATGCATGGAAATGATCACTTCTGGCTGTTAATTCACTTTACTCAGTTAAAATTTCATTATATTCAATTACAGGTGGCTGAAAAGGTCCGAATACTAGTGACGGATGCTAATGATGAGAGCCCAGAATTTATCAACACACCATATATAGTCCAAGTTCCAGAGGTTGGTGAAGTTTATTCATTCTCTCTAATAACTCTAATTGGGAAGCAGACTTGGCATGATGAACTAGGACCAGCTTTGACCTGTACAAGGTTGCCCACTCATCACAGAAAGTTGCTTCCCTGAGGCACTTTAAGTCCAGACAACTCCATTAAAAATGTGGACTTCTGGTGATGTTCCAAATGGTGATATTCCAAGTGGCCTCACCATTAGAAGTGACACATTTCCAAGAAGCATAAGATTTTATGTTTGTCTCAAAACAAAATAAAGTGTAAAATTTTAAGGACTTTGGAAGAAGCTCCATGGATTTAGAAAGTGGCCACTCATCACTAAAGCTGGGGAACCTCCAGCAACCATAGTCTTTTGAGCTATGTTCATGGATAAAGATATTGCTTTGGATCTGCAAAGTCTGTCAAATCCTCCAGAAGTCAAAAGGTCCTATATAAATCAAGCTACAAAATCTGCATTTATCAATCCAATGGAACACAAAGATTTTGCTTGTATCATAATCTGCTGATGATAATATCTATGGAGACATTGCACATTCTGCAATTTGAGCAAAGTTTCATTACTATGCTTTTTTAAAGCAAAATTGTTGATTTATTTGGTTAACATACAGAACTGCTTGAGGGTCTGTGAGGCACTTTTCTGATGATCTTACAGAACTAACTTAAAAACTAGTGTTCTCTAAGGTCAACTTTTCCTAGATACTGTCAAAATCATTTCTGAAGGAGGTTAAAAAAACAGGAGTGTGCATTGATCACATGGAGAAAACATCTCAACATCCCTACTATCCTACAAATGCCATATTGGTCAAATTGTCTACCAGACTTTTCCTGACCTACTTCTGAGTATATTCTCAGTTATTCTGTGTTTCTTGTTGTCTTGGGAGGGGTATTTGCAATTCTGTAAATTATATTATCTTTACACCACTCACATCATGATGTTCCTCCTCTTTTCTCTATAACACACTTTTTCTCATTGTAGCATGCAGTCTTTTTTAATGTCACCTAATTCTTCTGTCTTCTCTCTTCTCCATTTTGCTCCATCAATCTTTGTCTTGTTCTTAGTTTTGACTATCCACTCGCTTTCCATTCACAGGACACTCCTTCAGGAAGCAGCATATTCAAGATTGAAGCAGTAGATAAAGACACAGGTTCAGGAGGAAGCATTACCTACTTCTTACAGGTAAACATGGACTAAAGGGCCCAGAGCCAATAGGAAGACAAAAACACAAAGAAGAGGGTGGACACTTGAAAGTGGGGTCAGGGGTACTTAAAATATCTAACCTATTTACTAGGCTTGTGCATGGATCCAATTTGCTCAGTTCCCTTCAGCTAACCGGCTGGTCTGGCTTGTTTTGGTGGCCATAACGGCACGGGCTCAATCTCCATGTTTTTCTTTTTTTAGTCGCAACAGAACAATCGCTGTTGAAAACTGGCTGCCTTCAGTTACAAGTGGAGTCCAAGAAGGAGGCAGCCACTAGAAGGAAAAGCATGAGGCGAAAAGGCACCACTCAAGGGCCTGCAAATCAAGAGAAAACAGAGGGCTGTTTAAAGGAAGCTCGTGGTAGGATAGCTCCAGGTTGATCCCGCTTCCTTCCCTGGAAGGTGGGGAAACCTCCTAAAAATGCCTTGGAAACCTCCATGCTGCAGGGGGAGAGAGTGCTGTGCATGCTGCCCTGAGTCGCCTTCGGGCTGATATGGGCGGGATAGAAATAATGTAAATAAATAAAAAAATAAATGCCTGCAGCACCTATCTCCTCTAGAGTAGAAACAGTTTTAACTAAGCATTAAACCCAGTCTTCTCTACAGACAGAAGGGAAAGGATTGCAGAAAGAGTGGTATCTTAACTCTGATGCTTTTAATCCAAATCTTAATGAAGTTTATAAGGACAAAGAATGCCTAAAATGATGGGAAGGGGAATCTGGGAAGTCCCCCCCCCCTATAATGGGCCCCATAGAAAATTAATCTTTCAGCTTCCCAGATAAAAAATGGATTTTTGTCCTCTCAAATTCAGGAGGCTCCTGAAAAGTGGATTGGGACCCTCACCAGAATCTAAGACACCAAAACTAATAGCAGTTTACCCAGCAGGAGAGGAGCAGGAGAGGAGTGTTAATGATTCAACCCCCCTGAAATGAATTGGTTAACTAGTTAAATTAATTAGTAAACTGGTTTTTTTTTGGGGGGGGGAGGTTGAATCCTTAACACACACACACCACCCCTGGATACAGGCCTGACTACTTGGTGCTTTCTGTTTTGTTGTAACACTTTCTCACAATGAAGTTACGTTCAAGAGCACTAGAACCTCCATACCTCAGGGTATGAGTGAAGTCAGGTACAGCATGAAATAAATGTGTTTTCAAAAGATTTCTGTCTGTCTAGAGCAGTGATTCCCAACCTTTTTTTGGTCATGCTTCACCTAAGCATTTATTAGGCTTGTTTGATTCCCCCCCCCCCCCCAAAAAAAAAATGGTTCAAAACTCATTTCGGACATAGGGGGTGCTGGTGGTTCAATTCTAAAGTCAATTCCAATTTTCACAGAAAAAAATGTTCAAAACTTTTTGAAACTTCTGAATCCTTCTTGAATGGTTTGAAAGTGTTATTTTCTGTTTCCTTGGGTGGTCTTTACTTTGAAAGTAGTTGTTTTACTTCAGAAGCTGAGGGGGGGGGGCAAAGGGAGTAAATTCATCCACTCTGCTTTAAAATGCTTCCCAGGCTCCAGGCAGAAGCGAGGGGAGAGGAGAGGGAGGAAATTCATCCACTCTGCTTTAAAATGCTTCCCAGACTCTAGACAGAAGTGAAGCGAGAGGAGACGGAGGAAATTCATCCACTCTGCTTTAAACAGGCTTCCCAGGCTTGAACTGAGGCCAGGGACCAGAAGTGGGGAAAAGCTGAATCATTTCTGAATCACTTACTGCTTTGTAACAGAAATGGCTGGAAAAGCTTCAGAAGGGCAAAGGGATTTCCGGTTTCCTTACAAACTTTGAAATCACTTCAAAAAGCAAATCATTCCGAATTTATTCTGAATTACGAAGATTCCAACCGAACCTAACCATGCCTAGCATTTATAGCATTTTGATCCCCCCACACTCATGACATATAACCCTTATTATTCCAAAAGTAAAATCTTGTTCAAATGAAGGAAGATTAAAAAGCCATTAACTTGGTCTAAACAAGCTTCCAAAGGACACTGCATCCATGAAAGAACAAAAAAAGTTGAAGTACTGAGGAAGAAATAACTGAGAAATTCCCTGCTCAGGGAATTCCAGAGTTAGACTAACACCCTTTCTACTCTCTTTCCTTTTTTGTTTCAAGAGGCTGTTGAGGGATGATTGTTTGTCAGGATGGGACTTGTACAATGTGCTGAAATCTATATTAGTGATTTTTGTTTTGATGTTGTGGTTGTTGTGGTCAATGTTTTTACCGGTTTTAATATTTTATTAGTTTTTTTATCATTTCACCGTTTATCATTTTTAACTATTGTATTTTGTGAATTTTATTTTAATCTATTGTAAACTGGGGATAAGGCAGGATTATTATTATTTTGATTAGGATTGAGGCTTTATGGATATATATTTGTACTCGGCTTTGTGTGTGTGTTTGTATTTTATTCACTGCTCATTTTACCTTTTATTCTGTTCACAAAAAGGTGTCCTTAAATTACAAGAAAGATCTTCATGTGTGCTTGTCATGTGCACAGCACTTGTTAACTCCTTATAACTAACTGATGATTTCTTTGAGACTACCGAGCTACTCTTTTGTGTCATTTCAAGTGCTTTTAATGGGTGAATTTTCTTGCAAAGATAAAATTTCACTGCAAACAAAACCTTCCTGTTTCCTGGACTAATACAGCTTGCAATATAAAAATTTCACAGCTGAGTAACTTTGATTTCCACCCAACTAGAGAATTCATATACACAAATTTATTTTGATGTTTCCTTGGATGCAGGAGAGCTCACTAATCAGATAGCTGCTTTTCAAACCACAAATATTTAAATAGGATTAAACTCAATCCTACTTAACAGGAGAAAAAAATGGAAGGAGAGAAGCTAGAAAAACAATCACCCTTCTTTACTGGAAGAGATAAGCCTTCTTCTTCTATATCAAGCGATCTTTCTTTCTCAGCTGATCCATACCTGGCAAAAATAAATACCATTTTTTCCCACCTTGTGCCAACTTAGAATTCACCCAGGGAACGAGAAAACTCCAGCTAAGCTCCTAGGAGGTGATTCCACCTAGCTGTCAACTGCAGTACTCTTTTGTTTTGTTCTTGTCTTCCTGGTCATGAAAGCTTTTGTTTTTATGGTGCCCATTCCTTCATTTTACAGTGAAAAATCTTTTCGGCCCAAAATCAGGACCAATTGATTGAATGAGTACAATAAAATAAAATAATAAAGTGCCCAAAGCATAGGATGTTTACAGTTGGTATCTCCATACATGAACAGTTATATGGTACTGTGCACCGTTTTCTATTGTAACATATGTTGCCGTTCTTAGTGGCAATACACACACACACACACACACACACACACGGCTAACAAAAAGAATAAACACTAGAGGTGTGAAATTCAGTAAAACTCCATGCCATTTTTGGTACTCGGTTTCTGGCTCCCCCTGCCATTCCATTTTTAGGGAACTGGGCGGCAGCCAAATTTCTTACTGGAGCGGCGTACAGGGAGCGTACAACCCCCCTGTTACATCAGCTTCACTAGCTACCAGTTAGTTACCAGGCTCAGTTCAAAGTGCTGGCTTTGGCTTATAAAGCCCTAAATCAGTGGTTCTCAACCTGGGGTCCCCAGATGTTTTTGGCCTTCAACTCCCAGAAATCCTAACAGCTGGTAAACTGGCTGGGATTTCTGGGAGTTGTAGGCCAGAAACATCTGGGGACCCCAGGTTGAGAACCACTGCCCTAAATGGTTCTGTTCCAACTTACCTGTCCAAATGTATCTCTATTTATAAGCCAACTACAGATTTAAGATCTGCTGGGGAGGCCCTGCTCTTGGTCTTAGCTCCTTCACAAGTGCGACTGGTGGGAATGATAGGCAGGACCTTCTCAGTGGTGTTCCCTTGATTGTGGAACTCCCTTCCCAGTGACATCAGGCTGACCCTATTCCTCCTGGTCTTCAGAAAAAAAGTTAAAGAACTGGCTTTGTACTCAGGTATTCAGAGAATAGGATAATACGGAATTCAACATCAACAATTTGAATAATGACTATTGAAAAATGAATAAGTATGGAAAATCAAGACTCAGTTCTTCATATGTTTTCAATCTGTTTTATTGTTATGTGTTTTAATTTGTTCATATGTTTTAACTGTTTTGCAATTTGATGGGGTGTGTTTTATTGTTATGTCTATGATGCAGCATTGCATTTTTGCCAGAGTTTGTAAGCTGTTTTGAGTCCCCTTTGGGATGAGAAAGGCAGGGTATACATGAGATAAATAAATAAATAAACTTCCAAAATTTGGGAGGTTTCTGTTTTTGTGCCAGAAAGATTCAGCCGATTGGGGGAATTTTAAAGGTTCATTTCTCTGTCATTTTTAGGCCTATCAGCATGAAACCTGTCTCACATGTAGGCCAAATTAACAACTGCAAGTCTGCAATGTTTTAGAACATTGCGCCAATCCACTAATTTTGAGGAAATTTTATAAGTTTTTACCATAGTGTTTTTTTTAAAAAAAAAAAAACAAATGCAAGAGAGCTTCTGGAAATTCCCAAGTGCATGCCACAAGAGGGGAGAAGAATGGACACTGTCAACCAGACCTCTGATTGGCTGAGAAAGAAAGTGAGAAACACAGAAAGAGAAAAACTTCAACTCCCATCACGCCCTGGGAGAGAAAACAGATGCCACGAATGCCCGCACCACACAAAGTCCTGCTGGGAAAACAGGTTTCCATTTGCTTCAAGCAGACATGGGGAAGGCTGCTCTGCTCTGTTTTGACTAAAGTTTCAGCTGCCCCCCTTCAGGCTCATTTCTGCAGATGAATTTATTTATTTACTATTTATTTATTTATTTATTTATTTACTTACTATATTTGGGCAACTCAGAGCGGTTAACAATAGCAAAATTCAATGCTTAAAAACATAATAAAACAGTTAAAAACAAAACAGAAGCATACAGTTAATATAAATCAATAAAAACATCTCATTTGCGTCTCATAGTTAAGATCGAAATCCAGTCTCATCATTCAATTCTTCCATATTCCTATATTCATTACACTGCCTATTCAAATGCCTGCTCGAACAACCAGGTCTTTACTTTCCTCCGAAATGTCAACAAGGAGGGGGCCGATCTAATATCTGTAGGAAGGGTGTTCCACAGCCGAGGGGCCACCACTGAGAAGGCCCTTTCTCTCATCCCCACCAAACGTACTTGCGATGCAGGTGGGACTGAGAGCAGGGCCTCCCCAGATGATCTTAACACCCTAGCTGGTTCATAGGAGGAGATGCGTTCGGACAGGTAAATTGGGCCAGAATCGTTTAGGGATTTATAGGCTAAAGCCAGCACTTTGAATTGTGCCTAGTAGCAAACCGGCAGCCAGTGGAGCTGGTGCAACGAAGGGGTTGTATGCTCCCTGAGCACCTCTCCCATTAGTAACCTGGCTGCTGACTGTTGGACCATTTGAAGCTTCCGGACAGTCTTCTAAGGCAACCCCACGTAGAGAGTGTTGCAATAGTCTATACAAATCCCTCATATTGCTGGAATCTGGACACCAAAATGATATTTTGCACACCCCTAATAAATAGGAAATATATACATTATCTGAAGTCCCCATACAATTTAAAATGGATGGGGCAGGGTGAAGGTATGACAAAAACCTTACTTGTAACCACTTAGAAAACTAATCTCACCAGAGAGGAGAGGGTTTCTAGTTAGGATTTCTCCCTGAAATGAAGTTCTCCATAAATGTTCAGAGACATTCTTGTTCTGCTTGGAACAGGCTCTCTAATGCAAGAAATGGAAATGTGTCTCATCAAGGATTCCAAACATCTGATGAATGAATATGTTTCTATCCGTTTTCTAATAATCTTTTCTAATCTATTGTGGATGTGTGCTGGGCCTATTCGGCTTTATTCAGCTCACTTTAGAGTGATAATGGCTAACCATTGATTTTAAAAAAGACAATAGTGTATAGGAAAATATAATTTATTTTATTTGTCTCTTTTCTTTGTCATTCAGCTCATCCTCCTAAAATAAATAACATCTGGTGTCTTACAGCTGGTGTAAAATAAGCAAAATACAATCTCTAAGTTATCTCTTAAAGTCATGTGTAACCTTACTTGATTTCTCTCTTTTTTCTCCCTTCCTAGAACATCCGTACAAATAAGTTTACTATAGATCGTCACAGTGGTGTCCTTCGTATCAAATCAGGGGTCACTCTTGACTATGAAAAATCAAGAACTTATTTCGTTACTGTGGTGGCAAAGGTATTCTATATTATTCTGACTGCACATCTCCCAACTTTAGGAACAATTGTGTGAAAGCAAGACTGGGCATCCTCGCTGCTGATAAAAATGGTGCAAGACCTAACAGGCCCAGAATAACTTGTGACATCTAATCTTTTATGATTCCTGGATTGACAGCCATTGTGACAGTCTATCAAACTGTTTCTCAAGATGTCTTGCTGTGATTTCTCCTGGGGTTTTCAGTAAAGGGCTTGTAAGCTTCTGTATATTTGTTCCAAGATTATAGTGAAATGGTTTATGCAACAAAATTTCCCTAGGTTTGTCGCAACATGGATGAGGTCCAGCACTGTGATTCACCAATGACCGTGATGAGGCAGTGGAGCAGCAGCAGGTCAATCCTGGTGCTCTGGCTCTCAGTTGATTCTTTGCCATCCCACATGGGGAAGCATCACCACTGCACCAAAGTCCAGGTGTTCCTTATGGAATATGGGGCAGCCTTTATGATGGCAGTGGCAGCATCCTACCATGCATCCTACCATGCTGCTGTGCCAGTTTGTCCATGGAGCCCCACTGGAAGTTGTTGTGTGTCATTTGATGGGTGAGGTGGAGCTCCATGGGCAAACCAGGACAGAGGTGTCCTATGACGTTTCAATTGCCCCATGTGATGTGGCCCTTAGTAATTTTTAATGGAGTGTATAAACATTTAGTATATATTTTGAAAAAGGTGGTGATAATGGATGCATCAGCTTTTCTTTTGTCAATATAGGGAACTGCTTTATAGTAAATTGTCCATTAATTTCCAGCATATCTAATCTGGCCAACAACTCAGCAAAATCACAGGAAGAGCTCTTTCCCCAAACTCAGACCTTTTTAACTGGAGCCAGTATGTATTTAGAGCTGATATTTTCACCATGCAAATGATATGTTCTATCACTGAGCTGTGGGGTATCCACAGACAGGATGGAATTGGAGTCTACATTAGACATTGAAACCTTAGTTGATTTCATTCTCAAATTACAGAATAAAAAAGTTGAGAATGCCTATCCTAATGGACAAAATTCCATTTTGGGCATTATTCAGATACTTCAAATGTTAAGGCTTCCAAAATAAACTTGTGAAGTTTTTTGAAGAATGATTTCACACAAAAAATCAGCCTCTTGCAAAAAAATACAATGCATTTGCACAAAATACAACATTTTTCACAGCTTGATTAGCACTGTACAATTGCTAGAATATTGAGTTGGAAGTGAGGAACCTGGAGTTAGAACTTTTTCTCCTGGCTTTTTAATTTTCTGAGTTCAGGAAGTATTTATGTAACAGAATGTCCATTCGTGTCAGAAAGTCTGCCTAAAATGATACAAACCCAAACAGGACATCTCATATGCTATTTCTAGTATGTGTTTACAGCCTTAAGACATTAATCTGTCTGGCACTGTATGGAGGACCTTGCAAAAACATTTTTGCCCATCTGTGCAGATTTCTGGTCAGAATCTATTTGTAGGATCTGTTTGTGCAATTTCCTTCTGTATTTCCACTGTTGGCTAAAGTGTATGTCTCAACTGATAAGTCACACAGAGCATGAATAGTGTTGTGTTGGGAATGCCAAGGCTATGTACTGTGAAGTACATAGTAACTATAAGAACCGAGAACTTTATCCCATAATCTGCTCATTAGCATAGATCAACCATGAGGTGGGCATTCCTGCTCAGAAATAAAGCTCATTATTTGAAAATCTCTTGATACTATTATTTCTATTTGTCCAAATTATTTGTAGTTATATAGTTATGGTTATATAAATTGTAGTTATATAAATTATACATAAATGATCAAGAGATATTCAGGAAAATTATCTGGGTTTATGTGCAGCTCAGTTCTTTTACAGTCCCTACTGTTGGTCTCTGTTTTCTTCCCTTTGTTTCTGTGTTATTGATCATCATAAGGAAATCTGAAGGAGTTTCTTATTATGTGACTTTGCCTTGGTAGAAAAACATTGCCAAAAGTAGGACTGTATTCATTCATTCATAGTAAAGGATTCTTGGTAAATTTGATTGTAGCCTTTAAATAAAATGTATTTCTATATTGAAAAGCATACTTTGTGGAGGGAATCTCTCCTTTCACCAGTAGAATCTTAAATTTACAAATATTTTATGGCTCTACACTTGGTTCCTTAGTTAAGGAATGAAAAAAGTAACAAAACACTTCCCAACAAAGATAATCCAAGGACCTATAAAGATCTGAGAAAACCTGAACTTTCCAGATATTATTCAACTATTACATTCATCATCATTCAGTTTGGGCTATGCTGTTTGGAAGAGATTGAGTTTTCTATTTCTATTTTTCTATATATTCCTAAAAACATACTTAACAATTGAAAAAATCAAGAAGTTAGAACAATGAAACACCTAGCTCTAGCAGACAAGAGTCCTTTGGCCCACCCTGGTCATTAAACAGATATATAAACCCCATAGATGCAGGTGCAACATCAGGAGAGAATGCCTCTAGACCATGGCCATATAGCCCGAAAAAACCTACAACAACCCAGTGATTCCAGCCATGAAAGCTTTTGACAATACATGGATGAAATTGTTAGGTCTCGAAGGCTTCAATGAAGAATCAAGGCTTAACTTCACATCTAGTAACATCTAGAGTGGTGATGGATATCATGTGGTGCTTCAGACATTGTTAGGCTGATTGCCACTTCCCAGAATCCTAAGCCCACATAATCAATTTTGGCCATTCAGATAGCTGATGAAATTTCTCAGCAAGATGAGGAAAAAAAGAGAAAGAAAGACCATAAACTACTTCTTAATGATCTTGGAACTGTTTTGCACTCCTAGGATGGTGGAGGTAAGCTCCGTGGTCACAACAAGGTGTTTTCAGCCACAACCACAGTCACTATCAATGTGGAAGATGTGCAGGATACACCACCAATGTTCATTGGCACTCCCTATTATGGATATGTCTATGAAGACACTCTGGCGGTGAGTATTGCCAGGATAATGCATTTCCTAATCAAAATAATGTGAATTTATTGAATACTGAACTTAAATCACTATTTCTAGGATCACTCAGACCTGTCTCTGTGTGCAAAATGCCCCTGCACTTTACAGAAGGTGACTGTCTGATTCCTTCTGAGGCAATGATACTAGTACAATATGGAGAATGATATCATTGTCTATTAGAAATAGGTAGACTTGGCTTGATCTTGAAGGAGTTGGGAGTTGTGATGTCCAACAGGGAGCTCTGGCGTGGGCTGGTCCATGAGTTCACGAAGATATGGAAGTGACTGAACGAATGAACAACAAGACTTGGGACACTATGGCTAGAAGGGGTTATTGCCATGGTAGGACTTAGGACAAATTTCTTTCCAGTGCTTAAATCTAATGTTCAAACTTCATCATGAGTGATGGGGAATGAAGAATGCCCATGAAATGCCATATACACCAGTGCTGCAACATTTACATTGGCTTCCAACTAAGTACCGTGGCCTGTATAAGATGTTAGTTCTGACCTTTAAAATTCTTTACGGCCAGGGTCCATCATACCTTAGGGACCACCTCTCTTTCTTCCATCATCAGAGGTCGCAACAACCAACCCAACGCGACTTGCTCTATATACCAGGTCCTAGAGAAGTGCACTTGGAAAGTACAAGATGCAGGGCTTTTTCTATTTCTGCCCCTGCCTTATGGAATTCCTTGCCGCCCTATATGAGAGACATGTGTGACTTAGGGCCTTTTACTCTAGCACTTAAGACCTGGCTTTTTACTAGAGCATTTGATCTCTGTTAATTTTTAAATTGTGTATGTATGTATTTTATCTTTTACAATTTAGCTGTAAATCGCCTAGAGCATTCTTGGATGGAGGGTGATTAATAAGTAATTAAATATGATGATGATGATGATGATGATGATTGGGTGGCCGGACTTGGGAAACCTGTGAAGGGCTTTGTGAGCTGCAAAAGTGAGCTCCAGAAGCTCTGTAAGGGATTAACATTAAGGAAAGATAAGACATCAGAGTAATACAGGAGATGGGAATAGGCTAAAGCAGCATAAACAGTTTTACGGGAAAATTGGTAAAGAAGCTTATGTCCCTCTTCAAGGAATTTATGTCACTCAAGTACAAAGGTGGCCCATTGTTTGCTTCAATGGTAAGCAAACAGTATTTTGGCACCCCCCCCCCAACCAATCACTGATATATATTTTCTGTTCGTTGTGGGAATTCTGCGTGCCATATTTGGTTCAATTCCATCATTGGTGGAGTTCAGAATGCTCTTTGATTGTAGGTGAACTATACATCCCAGTAACTACAACTAGCATATGTCAATGTCTATTTCCCCCCAAGAGCATCTCAAGAGCGCCCCTGGGCAAACTCAACTATACTGCAAATGCTTACTTTGCGTAATGGGTTGAGCCGCCCCTGCTCAAGTATAACATGAATTAACAACAAACTGATAATTATTTATTTTGTCATTACTGCATTTTTTTCCTGCCAGGGATAGGGAAAGGTTCTTGTGGGACTTTTCTGCCTTGTGTTCCAAAAATAACTTGTTTAGATTGAGATATAATGCTCTTTGATGGGAGAAAGAGATTTCCTGCTCCACCTCAAGGTATCAAATTGGCCAGAATCCAATGAGGATGAAGCTATTTTTGTCTGTGAAAATGGAAGGGTGTTAATGCCTTTCTTCGCTTCAGCCCCCAATGAACTTCTACAAACTCATCCATTCTGAGTTGGATTCTCTGTAGTACTAAGAGCTGCAATAGGGAGGGGGGAAAATTTCAGTATTTCTGGCGTTGATGTACAAGACTGACATTGGATTTCACCCAGTGTTTTGGGTCTGCCCTGTTGCTTTAAGTCATAATCCAACTGCTCAGCACAGTACAGCTAACGGCAAGCTTTAACCTTGGCAGAGATTCATGTTCAGCCTCCAGCAGCGTATAAGATTTAGTTAATCCTGGTTTAGCTTGTTGGACTACAAACAGATATAAAGCTATCCAGAGGTGAGGCCAATGCCTCGTTTATCTCTCAGGCTCTGCAGCTCGTGTTTACAGAACTTCTTCTTCCTCCACCTTTTGTCCTATACTGAAGGGTTTCCTCCCTTAATAATCTTCTGCCATATTTCGCTGCAGATATTGTTGCAGCCCGCTGAGTGAGAGGGCAGGAGAAAATGATTTCTGAGAACATTGGAGGTGTTTTTCATGCACTTTGTAATCCTTGGCAATAAAAAATGCCATAAAATTGTGAAACATCATAATTTACCTTGGGCTGCTATTAACTAACGATCTGGAAATGCCCATAATTATTCAGTATGTTGTATTTTTATGGGATCCAGTGAGGAAATCAAGGGTAATTAGGCATTAATTACTTTTATACAGAGACCCATAACAAAAACATATCATATTATAATGATGGAAATGCAGACATCTTTCCTAATTTACTTATATCAGGAAATTCCACATCGTAAAAAGCATTTGCTAGGTCTAGGAATATTTATAGACTCGATGTTGTCCATTATAAGCAGGGGAGAGGTATTGTACATTTTCAGATCTAACATTTTAACTGCATTGCTTTTTAGATCACATTCTTAGGCAGTGAAATGCATTTCTTGTAGTTCTTTTCAATACTTTGCACATTCACATTTTTTGAGAAAAAACTCAACTTGAGAGCAATTAACAACAAGAAAAAAAATTCAGAGTAGAAGGCGACAGGGACTGTCATCCCCCCCCCAAACCCCCCCCCCCCCACAGATCTCTCCATTTAATGGTAGGGCCAAGTCTATTCTTTTCTATATTTTTTTACTCTTTAACTGTCCAAAGAGAAACATATGCGCATACTGTGTTGAACTAGCTCTTCTAAACAAGTCCAAGATCAATCTGCCCATCCTTTTCTCAATCTCACCAAGTGCAGATATGCTAAATCAATTATTCGTTTCAGTTCCTCCCATTGTCTGATATCTTTGTTCAAATGAAAGAAACACCCTTACAAAAACTTGTATTGCTGGCTCTGAAAACTAGTTCAAGGCAGTGTTTCATGTGGTCATCTTCCACTGGGCATTTCCACCACTGATTTCTGAATTATTTTGCTATTTATTTATTTAGTAAGCATTTCAATTTCAATATAGTCATGCACCCAACAAAACTGTAAGCTGTTTACAATTTGTTTTGGTTTTTTCCAAAAAGCTAGTTCTGTCATAAGAACTACAAATTTATAACTCCACTAGCTGTCCCCTGCCACGCGTTGCAGTGGCCCACATGGGGGTTTCTGTGTGGGAGGTTTGGCCCATTTCTATCATTGGTGGGGTCCAGAATGCTCTGTGATTGTAGGTGAACTATAAATCCCAGCAACTACAACTCCCAAATGTCAAGATTCTATTTTCCCCCAAATCCACCAGTGTTCACATTTGGGCATATTGAGTATCCGTGCCAAGTTTGGTCCAGATCCATTATTTTTTGAGTCCACAGTGCTCTCTGGATGTAGGTGAACTACAACTCCAAAACTCAAGGTCAATGCCCACCAAACCCTTCCAGTATTTTCTGTTGGTCATGGGAGTTCTGTGTGCCAAGTTTGGTTCAATTCCATCATTGGTGGAGGTCAGAATGCTCTTTGATTGTAGGTGAACTATAAATCCCAGCAACTACAACTCCCAAATGACAAAATCATTTTTTTAGTAATACATTGGGTTGTTAGGTGTCTTGTGTCCAAATTTGGTGTAAATTCGTCCAGTGGTTTTTGAGTTCTGCTAATCCCACAAACGAACATTACATTTTTATTTATATAGATTGCCCATGTCTAGTAGTAAAATACTGGACATTTGTTGTGCTATGTGGAGTGATTTTTTTTTTACTATGTACAAAGATCATATCCAACTGAGACTGTCACAAGCAAAGTTGTGCATGTGAAACTAGCAATGCATTAAACTAAACAGATTAGTATATGAATGAGTAATGCCTCGATACATTGCCTTTGAACGTTGTGTGTTGCAATGTACAATGGGTTTTCATCCATGTGCATTGAACATTGACTCATATATGCCACTTGTATTGAACTATATAAATAAAAATGTAATGCTCATTTGTGGGATTAACATAACTCAAAAAACAGTGGACGAATTGACACCAAGTTTGGCCACAAGACACCTACTAACCCAAAGAGTGACCATCATTCAAAAAAATTGATTTTGTCATTTGGGAGTTGTAGTTGCTGGGATTTATAGAGCACCTACAATCAAAGAGCATTCTGATCTCCATCAATGATGGAATTTAACCAAATGTGGCACACAAAACTCCCATGACCAGCAGAAAACACTAGAAGGGTTTGGTGGGCATTGATCTTGAGTTTGGGAGTTGTAGTTCACCTACATCCAGAGAGCCCTGTGGACACAAACAATGATGGATCTGGACCAAACTTGGCATTAATATTCCATATGCCCAAATATGAACACAGATAGAGTTTGGGGGAAATAGACCTTGACATTTTGGAGTTGTAGTTGCTGAGATTTATAGTTCACCTACAATCAAAGAGCATTCTGAACCCCACCATTGACAGAATTCGGGCAAACATCCCACATGACCAACAGAAAATACTTAAGACCATCCAGTCCACCTCCCTTCACAAGGGCAAGAAAATGTAATCAAAGCCCTCCTGACAAAGAGCCATCCAGCCGTAGATATAGATAGATAGATATGATTCACACAGAGAGATATAGTATCATAGATTTGAAAGGGGCCCCTAAAGAAGGACAATGATATGTTGCATGTTCCAGAGTAGGCAAACCAGACAATTTCCACATCAACACTGACAAAGAAATAGCAAGAAATACTGTTTACCCACAAGCATAGACATTACGTATATTAGAAATCAACACTTTCTCATTATTTTCCAGATCTCCAGGCTGGACCACAGCAATGTGTGGCAGGGGATGGCTAGTATTCAATAAGGAGATTATATAATTAAAATCCACTTGTGGATATTTATGATGCACTGAAGTGATGTAGGCTCTCAGATTCTATGTGCCATTTTGGAGTATCTGGTTTCAGGGAGGAAGGTTGCTGCATTCAGTTGGCTTGATGTGCATTTTGCAACAGTTTTATACCACAGAGCTCTCTGTACAAAACCTTTTCCCCCTTTTCTCTTTAGGGTTCTGAGGTAATAACAGTGGTTGCTATTGATGGTGATCGAGGAAAACCTAATGATATTCATTACCATATTATCAACGGTAAGTAGATTGGTAGAATAATCTAAGAATAGTACAGCTATTTGTCGTGCAACATAACAGGGAGCCTGGTTGTAGTTTGATATATCTAGTTAGTTAATTTAAAATTATGTTGATCTTCTATATAGCTTATCTACTCACACTGTGAAAGAGGTAAATGTCATAAGTTTTTTTTCACATTTCAATACTTTTTTAAAGTACAAATTCACATGCAGCAAAAATCTTTGAGGATTTCACACACATGAACATCTTTTTAATGTGTCCATGCTAATTCCAGCAATTTCTTCATAAAATCATTTAAAAAAAACAATTTTGCAAAAATTATTATTATTATTATTGTGTGTCAGGAGAGATGTGGGAAACTGCAAGTCACTTCTGGTGTGGGAGAATTGGCCGTCTGCAAGGACGTTGCCCAGGGGATGCTCAGATGTTGGATGTTTTACCATCCTTGTGGGAGGCTTCTCTCATGTCACCGCATGGGGAGCTGGAGCTGTTAGAGGGAGCTCATCCATGCTCTCCCTGGATTCGAACTTGCGACCTGTTGGTCTTCAGTCCGACCAGCACAGGGGTTTAACCCACCACGTCACCGGGCACTCCAGTGATTATGCTGATGCTTTTCTGTCAAGCCGCTTTGAGTCCTCTTTGGGGGATATAAAGTGGGGCAGGGGATGCTCAGATGTTTGATGTTTTACCATCCTTGTGAGAGGCTTCTCTCATGTCATGGCATGAGATCTGGAGCTGACAGAGCGAGCTCAACCCACCCTCCCTGGAATCGAACCACTGACCTGTCAGTCAGCAGTCCTGCCAGAAAAATAATAATAAAATGCAAAATTCATTATTTGCTAAAGAATAATAGAATACAAAAAATGCATTAAGATGCCCGTTGCTGTTTTCAGCAGGGACAAAACATTATAACAAATTAAGCAAAGATTGGCATGCTTTGTCTGGGATGACACTGTAGAATGTATTTATTTATTTATTTATTTATTTACAGCTTTTATATTCCGCCCTTCTCACCCCGCAGGGGACTCAGGGTGGATTACAGTGTACACATATATGGCAAACATTCAATGCCAATTTTTGACATACAAACATATACAGACATACACAGAGGCTATTTAACTTTTTCTGGCCGCCAGGGGAGCTGTCGCTTTCATCGTCCATCTGCGACGCTGATGAAGCACTTCCGCATTCCCCGCATGCTTCCCCACTGGAATGCTTTGCTGGAGTCTTCTTTATGGCCTCATAAATCAGTTAATTTAGCCTCCCCACACTTCAAGGTGGTACCTTATTTTCCTACTTGACAGATGCAACTGTCTTTCGGGTTGCAAAGGTCGACAACAGGCTACACACAATTGGTTGGAAACCCACTCCAACCCGGGCTGGCTTCGAACTCATGACCTTTTGGTCAGAGTGATCTTAATGCAGCTGACAGCCAGCTGCGCCACAATCCCGGTGCACTGTAGAAGGAAAACTTCTCCTCTGATTTTTTTTTATTCTTCATGGCTTTTTAAAGATACCTTCCGTAGAATGGACCAAGAAACCACAGCATTAATTTCGAATCAAGAAAGTGTTGCTTTCCGCCATCTCTAGACAGGAAGAACTTAATGCAGCAATGTATGCTGATGGGGAGAAACATTAAAGATGCAACCCTTCCCCAATATATCAAAAATAATTGCAAAAATATATAGAAATACCATTGTGTTCCAGACCTAAAAGTACATCGAATGGGTGGGTGGAAGATTGTTTCCCCTTATACTGTTCTTGGAATTGCATGCCTTTATTTCCAACATATGGTGACACTAAGATGAACCTATCACTGCTGGTTTTCTGAGGCTAAGGACCCTTTGACACAGACCTCTAATATGGGTCTGATCCAGCATTCCCAATGCCAGATCGGGTCTGCAGGGAGTTCTCACTGGAACTCCCTCAGCCACCTCAGAAACAGTTTGGCACTGCTAGGTAGTCATCCTAGTGTTCCCCTGCCCCTGTCTGTGGCAGTACCCAGCTGTGACATGACATCTACCTTTTCCCTGGTACTCTGCAGGGTGCCAGCATGCCAATGGAGGAGGAAGCAGGGAAAGGAGGAAAGCCATCCCATCTCCCTCTTCCATTCTCCCTTAGCATGGCAGCACTCTGCCTGAACCTGGGCAAAACACCAGGAAGTAGTAACACAGGGAGAAGGGACAGAGGGGATTGTCACCCAAGCCCAGAATACACAGGATGGCCAATTGGGAACTGGGCCAACTGTCTTGACAGCCAAGAAGTCATAAGGAAATCAAATGTGGGCTTTCCCCCAACTTAAATTAACCTGAGGGCAAAACCATGTTAAGGTGGCCCACATAGCATTTAGCTGCAGTGGAATTGATCCATATCCAAACTGACTTAAGAAATCAGTGGTGTCTCCCAAGAGTGTGTGGCTTTTCCAAGATCACCCAATGGGTTTTCAATGAGTTCAAACCCACTGCGCTACTGGGAGTTCCTGGGTTACAACTGGAAAATAGCCACACTCTTAGAATGTATAAATTCAATTGCAATTTCAGTTGTAGTTTAGACCAGGAAAACAATGATTTAGAAGCGTGAGGGGCCTTCCCCCTGGAAGCTCAAAGAACAAATCATATCAGTGTACTTTGTTTGTTTAAACTTAGGTCTGCTCCAGTCACATACATATCAAAGAGAGAATGATATAGATAAAAGGCATATACAGTCCTTATTTCTCCAGGTTACTTTTTATAACCTTTTCTTGGGCATATCCATTTTTATAGTATCATAGTACAGTTTGGAGGAGTGTGTAATATGATGAAGAAGATTAAACTCCTTTCATCAGTACTCGTCTCATACTTAGTTTAAGCAAATGGATTTTGCACTATTAAACTACAAGAAAAGAGATTTCATCTGAACATTAGGAAGAACTTCCTGACTTTGAGAGCCATTCAGCAGTGGAACTCTCTGCCCCACAGTGTGGTGGAGGCTCCTTCTTTGGAAGCTTTTAAACAGAGACTGGATGGCCACCTGTCGGGGGTGCTTTGAATGCAATATTCCTGCTTCTTGGCAGGGGGTTGGACTGGATGGCCCATGAGGTCCCTTCCAACTCTATGATCTATGATTCTATTATTTCATATGAAGTTAAACGTCCTCTAAATAATGCCTTCAAATATGGAAAGCAGCAGAACGACATAATAAAGACAACTAAATCAGCAAAGATCTTGGCAAGGAAGCAGGATGGCAAGATTGATAAGGATGTGTAATAATATAGTTGATCTAAATGAGTCCAAATCTGTAGGGCAAGATGTATTGCATATCTGGATATTGACATGCTCACAGAACCACTTGCCATCATTTTTTAGAAGACTTGGAGAAATCTTGGGGACTAGGGTGAGGTGACGGGACTGGAGAAGAGCTCCCAGAAATTCCAGCCAGCTTACCAGCTATTAGGAACTGTGGAAGCCGAAGTCCAAAATGTCTGGAGGAGCAAAGTTTGAGAACCACTGATCTACATGATACACAAGAAAAGTGATATCTACAGAAGCACAAGCCAAAGCTATCCCCATGTGTGTCCCACAATAATCAACAACCAAAAAATCAAACTTGTTACTGCAAACAATAGTATGCACTAGGGCTGTGCGAAATTGCTGGTCGTTTTTGTAAGCTGTATCAAATTTGCTAAATTCTTACTTACAACATGATAATCCTGCACATGGGCATGGCTAACACCAAAAACTTAAGAATCAAAACTTACCTAATACTTTTTTTTTAATTTTGTAAACCTCGGATTACTCCCAAAGTCAGTTTCATTTTCAATGCATGCAAGCAAAGCAAGGCCAAAAAAGCTGCCATTCCTTTTTAATTTAATGGCCTCTCACCATTAGGAGAGGGAAGCAGCAGGGAGAAAACAAAGTTCACTGGGAAAGAGACTGAGAAAAGCGCAGAATTCTGGGAAACATAGTTTGGGAGAAGATAAGGAGCCCTATGCCAGAACACTTGAAAGGCCCTGTCCTAAACTACGTTTCCCAGAATTCTGCTTAGCATCAGAGATGTGTCTCTTTGTAGCACCAGCCAGCCAGAGTTCCAATAAATTGTTGAATCTGCAAAGAGAAGACTGATTGATACTTCTAGTAAGTAAATCTCTGTGCTGGGCTTATCAAGAAATCCCTAAATGAAACTTCTATTGGTGAAAATGAGAGACATTCAATGAAATAGCTTTAAAAAAACTTTAAAAAATTCCCTAAAGTCAGTAGATGTGTAAATATTTTTGAAAGTTGGGGAGAATGATCCCCTGTTATCTTGTGTCATTGCATAAACCGCTTTGAGTCTCTCTAGGGGTGAGAAAAGTGGTATATAAATACTGTAAATAAATAAATAATATAGAAAATTCAAGGCAATAGGTCTTGTAGTTGTTCTTTAAAAATTGTGTTTATAAAAACTTTGAAAATTCCCCAAAAATCAGTGGATAAACAAAATATTTTGTAACTTGATGGGCTAACATTGGTCAATGTGTTCTACCATGGTAGCGAGTTTCACCCCAATAGATGTAAAAGTGGAGGAGAAAGGAGTCCCTGAAGTTTTCTCACTTGCACAATTGCTTACTATAATGAAAAAGTAACATTTTCTTTAGAATAATGAAATTTTCACTAATGATACTTTAGAAACACTTTAGAAATGAAATGCTGGCACCCCCTAATTTTGTAATGACTTTTGAAACATTTTTGTCATAGATCACACTGCTATAGTACACTAATGTTCAGTTTTGGATATGTGTTGTTCTTTATAATATTTTGAGATGAATAATCTTGTATTATATTATTTTTTGATGGTAGATTATTTTGGGTTGTTGTAGGTTTTTCCGGGCTATATGGCCATGTTCTAGAGGCATTTTCTCCATAGGAGAATATGCCTCTAGAACATGGCCATATAGCCCGGAAAAACCTACAACAACCCAGTGATTCCGGCCATGAAAGCCTTCGACAATACGTAGATTATTTTCATTAATAAGCTTTCTATGTTCCTGTATTATTTAAAATAAATAACACTTACAGTAAAAACAATATCATACATCCCACATCAAGAGAGACAAAGCATAATTTTATTGTCATGGAATTCATGAAGTTTGCACAACATTGCCTCATTAGTGAATTGTAATCTGTTGCAAGTAAATGTGCAGGCAAAGGTGTCTGCATGTATTATAGACATGTATAATGACTTATACAATTATTAAAAAGTGTTTTGTTTATAATTTATATTTTAATATCAAGCTAATCCTTCCAAATCTCTGCAGCATTGAAAGCTCACAATTGACCTTGTTCCAAATTACCAATTTCCACACAGCAATTAGAAATATCATGAAGTATGAGTACTAGAAACTACTATTGACTTCATTTCCATTGTAGTCAAGATTTACTTTTTTGGTCTATGCATCTTGGTAATGGCCCTCCAGATAAGTCAATATGTACTCAGTGTGGCGTCTAATGCCCTCTAATGAAGTCATGCTTATTGCAGATATTAGCAAAATGGGACATTATTCGGCAGTTTTAAAAAATGAGCATTGATATCAAATTAGAGAAAAGGAGGCAGAGAGAATAATGATTTCGATGTTTTCTTTAGCTGGCTTTGCTATGAGTCTATTTTCTAGCAAGGCTCAAGAACATGTTTCATCCCTAGTATATGAAAACACCAACTGAGGAATATGCACTCTTGTTATAATGAGTAGATTGAATAAACATGTAGTATCTAGGACCACCTACATGGGGGCATGGTTAGACACTTGGTAACAGCATTGGCAATATCTATGGGGACAGAAAGAGAGAAGGTAGACAGGGAGAAAGGGACATTCATTTTCCCTTCCTGCATGATGGTGTCACCCAATGTTCCATCATTTAGATGTGACTTGAATGAAATCACAGGCAAATGAAAGCCTAAGGCAGTGGTTCTCAACCTGTGGGTCCCCAAGTGTTTTGGCCTACAACTCCCAGAAATTTATTATTTATTTATTTATTTACTCTATTTGTATACCGCATATATCAGCCTGAGGCGGCGACTCAGTGCGGTTTACAATAAAAATCCCAGGCACTTTACCAGCTGCTAGGATTTCTGGGAGTTGAAGGCCAAAACATCTGGGGACCAACAGGTTGAGAAACACTGGCCTGGGTTGAGATGATTGTAGATCAGACCAGACAATATATTACCATATATTCTGGTGTATAAGACTACTCTTTAACCCAAGAAAATCTTCTCAAAAGTCAGGGGTCGTCTTATACGCGGGAGTAGTCTTATACACTGGAATAGTCTTATACACAGGAGTAGCCCTATAGAGCAGGTGCTGAAACTTCAAATTGGATTGGAGAATCTGTGGTTGCCGCATATGGTGGGGGGAGCTCAAAAATTGCAGTGTCCGCGTCCCTGCCGTATATAGCGACTGTATGAAAGCATTAAGGGTGACACTGTACAGGTATGGTAGAAGAAAATCCATTCATCAGGATTCGTGGACTTAATGCGGTCCCAATGGTGAGGTCAAGGGGCGCCTCACCGGGAAGGTGTAAGTGAAGGGCATTGCAAGCTGCAGGCATTCGGGGCGCCCGAGGTATAGAAAAAAGAGATAGAGTGGCTCTGGGCCCAGAAAACCACAACTCTTTTACCTGTCTGACCCACCCTTGTATCTTATTACCATGCCTCCTCCTCTGCCTCTCAGATCTCATTCCTGAAGACTGCAGTGAAGCAGTGCAGGTGCGCAGGTGCGAGATCTGAGAGGCAGAGAAGGAGGTACAGTAATAGGAAAATTACCATATTGAAATCAAATCTGATGCTTTAAAAAATTTTATTTGGTGTGCATTGGAAGAGGGATAGTCTTATATGGCGAATATATCCCAAACTCTATATTTTAAGTGGAAAAGTTGGGGTCATCTTATACGCCCAGTCATCTTATATGCCGGAATATGCAGTATATTGTTTTTAGTGTTGTTCGCCACTTTGAGTCTCTTTTTAAAATAACACCCCCCCCTACTTCCCCCTTTCCCTCTATTCACATCCCACAGATCCCAATCCCCTCCACTACCCCAACATCATTACCCTCCCCTTAAACTCTCCTTATTTCTTTATTTTCTTCTTTTTTAATATATTTTCACAGATAAACCTTTTAATAAAGATTATTAAATAAAAAAGTGAGAAAGCAGGATAGAAATAAATATAATACAACAACAACAACAGTTTTATTTTGATTTTAGAAAAAACTTTTTTTGGTACACTAGATGCAGAAAGAATATTAATAAACATTCAAATCTCTCAAGAAGAGACCTCTGAACTAATGAGAATGTTCATCATTCAAGACTTATTCTGCACGAAGAACAGAAGTAGGTTTTGCATAGAAAGCAGACTTTTCAAAGCAGAAATGTTATTTTATGCGCAGAAGGCAAATTTTCTGCACAAAAAACATGATTTTCTGACAATTTCTATGCACAAAATGTGAACGCAAGTTTCTTCACAAAATACATGAATTATGAATAGTCCTCATACATTATAGAAGCTTTGGACAAGTTTCTCACAGGGAGGAGAAAATGGTCCAATTGTGTGTTATATGTCCATGAGAAATATATATATATAAATATTTACATGCATTCACCTTGCTGTTTTGTATATATCCCCATGGAAGGCCACTAGTTTTTAATAGAAGTAAATGTTCATGATTATAAGTAAATTGAGAATTTTCTTATTTTTGAGGAGTGGTGGAAAACTTAATGTGCATAACCATATGTGTCTTTGTATTGTGACAGGAAGTGAAAGTTCATTTGAAATAAATAATACAACTGGTGCCATTTCTGTTGTTAAACCTCCAAATCAGCTGAAGAAAGAAGTATATGAACTAAAAATTGAGGTATTTTTCTTATTCTTTTGTCATAAAAGCCATGCTTTGAACTCTTATGTAGGAGTTATACTCCCCAGAATTTTGGTTTGGATGTCAGCAGGTCTCACACAGTGTCATCTTTGGACTTTAAGCAGCTAAGTCAGGGTCCTCCATCATCATCATCATCATCATCATCATCATCATCATCATCATCATTATTATTATTATTATTATTATTATTATCTTTATTTATACCCTGCCACCATCTCCCCAGAGGGACTCAGGGTGGCTTACATGAGACCAAACCCAAACAACAAATTACAACAGAATAAAACCAAAAATGCAAACAATAAACAACATGTTCCAGTGTGCCTTCCCGGAATAGTGATCCCATAGCACTTTGTCCTTTACGTTTCTTTAGGTCTGCTCGTATGCCCTTCCACAAACACCAGTATCACCTTTCGTCCATGTCCCAGCATTATTTCCAATTTTAACACTACATTTGGCCTTCCCACTGTTTTTAATTGTGTGTTGTCTTTTGATAATGTTGTGTATTTTATTGTTTATGTTTTTTAATTGCTTGTATTGTTGTTATTGCTTGTATTGTTGTGTTTGGGCTCGGCCTCATGTAAGCCACACTGAGTCCCTTGGAGAGATGGTAGCGGAGTACAAATAAAGTGTTGTTGTTGTTGTTGTTGTTGTTGTTGTTGTTGTTGTTACTACCCTGGGGACCTATACTAAGACTTCTTCTATAAGAAGATATTTGTCATCTCAGTGCAAGACCCTTCTGACTTTCCAAGGAAGTTTGTTAGTTACACAGCCAAGCAAGCAATATATGATCAACAGGTGAAAGGTGGAACTGGAAAAGATTGGAAGATATGGCTCCACACATTTTCAGAGTGGCGACTCAAACCTAAATGATCAGATTCCTAGAATCCTTGTATCCTTTTTCTTTTTCTAGAGTACAACATTTAAAAGGTGTCTAGAGTTAAACTTGGTATTTCATGGAGTTTCCTAATGCCTGAAATGCCATGCTTGCCGGAGGGCTCCCTGCCCCATTCTACTTCACACCAGAGAATTGTGCAGTTACACAAAGTTGTCCAAATATAACAGCCCAGTTAATAAAACTGGGAATTGCAACAAGCACTTAACAGCTCATTGCCATGGTTATTTTTGTGTGAATGATTTCTATATAACATTTTTGAAATGTATTGACCACTTTTCCTTTTGAAAGCTTATAAGAATGTAAAAACACATAGAAAATGCCATATAAACACATGCAATAGCCTAAAAATATAACATAAGATCACTAAATCAGTTTAGTTTCAGAAGAAAGTGTAAGTTTTTGCTGCAAATAATAATCTCTAAACAGAGAGTCCCTTGATTGTTAAATCTATGGCTGTTAGAGGGGATTATTACCAAATCTATAACTATTGGTTAGTTTGCCATTACCAACATTGATATTCAATGTGGAAGAAGTGCTCTGAAGATTTCCCTTTGCTATACATACTGGATGGTGGGATTAAAACAACTCCCTGAAAGGGGTTTTTTAAGAGGAAGAAAAGGCAAAATCAGTTCCAGCTTTCAGAACTGCATTTTTTTTTTACCAACCTGAGATCTCTCTCTTTCATTACACTCAAAATTGTACATGAACTCTGTTTTTGTTTCCTAAAGGTCAATGTGCATGTCTGTCTGTTCTTACTGGAAGCATTGAGGGAAAAGTGTGTCAAATAAGATAGCATTTGATACTCCAGAAACATGACAAAATGTCACATACAGTACCACATTCAGTGGATCGTATGCTACAAACATCTTTCTCTCAGCCTCAAAGAAGCTACAAGATCTATTTGCATACTTACAGCGTCTGAGACTATGCCTTTTAATACCATGCCTGTTAAGTTAAAGTGGGTTTTCATCTAATATATGGCAGTATTTAGACCAGGGGTCCTCAAACTCTTTAAACAGAGGGCCAGGTCACAGTCCCTCAAACTGTTGGAGGGCCAGATTATAATTTGGAAAAAAAAATGAATCTATTTCTATGCACATTGCACATAACTTATCTGTAGTGCAAAAAACACTTAAAACAATACAATAATTAAAATGAAGAATAATTTTAACAAATACAAAATTATTGATATTTCAATGGGAAGTGTGGACCTGCGTTTGGGATTTTTTTTTGGTCATGTCAGGAGCAATTTGAAAAACTGCAAGTTGCTTCTGGTGTGAGAGAATTGGCCATCTGCAAGGACGTTGCCCAGGGGACGCCTGGATGTTTTGATGTTTTATCATCCTTGTGGGAGGCTTCTCTCATGTCCCCGTATGGGGATTTGGAGCTGATAGAGGGAGCTCATCCACGCTCTCCCTGGATTTGAACCTGCAACCTGTCAGTCTTCACTCCTGCGGCACAGGGGTTTAACCCACTGCGCCACCGGGCGCTCCTGCTTTTGGATGATGAGATAGAATTGTTGTTCTTTTTGTTGTGTGCTTTCAAGTCATTTCAGACTTAGGTTGACCCTGAGCAAGGACCGGATAAATGACCTTGGAGAGCCGTATCCGGCCCTCGGGCCTTAGTTTGAGGACCCCTGATTTAGACAGTCAGCATGATGTAGTGCATTAAATATTAGACTAGTATTTTATGAGGCTAGAGATCAAGCCCTTCTTCAGTCATAGAAATCCACTGGGGTGACCTCAGGCAAGTTACAGTCTTCATTAAAAGGAGTAAATTGTTTTACTTAAAGCTTTTGTTCTATATTTAAGAAAAAAGAATCATTTATTTATTTATCTTTGAAGTTGGTTGGTTTTTCCCAGCCCCTTCTTGTCTCTTCCTTTAGTCTTATAGGAAATATCTTGGAAACTCTGAAGAACTGAGAACATTAGAAAATACCTACAATATAAGTCTTTTTTTTTTTGTTGCGTCAGGAGCGACTTGAGAAATTGCAAGTCGCTTCTGGTGTGAGAGAATTGGCCATCTGCAAGGACGTTGCCCAGGGGACACCCGGATGTTTTCATGTGTTACCATCCTTGTGGGAGGCTTCTCTCATGTCCCCGCATAAGGAGCTGATATAGCAGTGGTTCTCAACCTGGGTCCCCAGATGTTTTTGGCCTACAACTCCCAGAAATCCCAGCCAGTTTACCAGCTGTTAGGATTTCTGGGAGTTGGAGGCCAAAAACATCTGGGGACCCCAGGTTGAGAACCATTGTGATAGAGGGAGCTCATCTGCGCTCTCCCTGGATGCAAACCTGCAACCTGTCAGTCTTCAGTCCTGCCAGCACAGGCAGGCCCGTAGCCAGGATTTTGTTTCGGGGGGGGTGAGTTTGATTCGTGGGGGCTGAGTCTGAGTGAAAGAGGGTCTACCCTAGCAAGCTTTTTGTATTGTTACCCCAATACCCCCATATTGAGTATGGTGATCAGATCATGCACCAGTAAGGCCTTTTCGCAAACCACCATGAGAATTTCGGGGGGGGGGCTGAAGCCCCCCGAGCCCCCCCCCCCCCCCCGGCTACATGCCTGAGCACAGGGATTTAACCCTCTGCACCACCGGGTACTCCTATAATATAAGATAAGATCATAGGAACTGAGAGCGGAAAGAGACCCAACCATTCAATTCAACTTACCAGTCTGCAGAAATACACAATTACATACATATTAAAGAGGTGGGGTGGAGAAAGGGCAGAGAGTTGGGAAAGAAAGACAGGAATTTATGCTTATTTTGAGAAGGGGGAAAACCTCTGTTCTTTTGTCTTTTGCTTTTTTCAGGCCTCAGAAATCAGCCCTGAAAATGAAGAACCGACATATGCCTTCGCCGTAGTAACCATAAGAATTGTTGACCTCAACAATCACCCACCAACATTCTACGGAGAAAATGGGATACAGAATAGATTTGAACTCACAATGTATGAGCATCCACCAGAGGGTGAGATCCTGAGAGGTCTCAAAATTACAGTAAATGACTCTGATCAGGTCAGTGCCTTATAACCAATCTGTCTTTGTATATTTTCTACTATCCATTATCAGTTAAAGTATTACTGAAACCGTGGTGTTATTGCCAAGGACAGTTTCAAGGTTATTGATCCATGGTTGAGTCCTCTTCAAACGGTCTAAAATTAGGTGGTGTTGGGTTTTTTGCTCTTTTGTCATGGAAGCCACCAGCTCCCATCACATTCAATAAAAATTACTTTCAGGGCAGCTCTGTGATGGAACTGGCACAAAACCCCTGCCACCGCCTGCCCAACTAGGAACGCAAATGGAGCTTGGAGAAAATAGACGTTGACATTTGGGAGTTTTAGTTACTGGGATTTATAGTTCACCTACAACCAAAAAGCATTCTGAACCCCACAAACGATAGCATTGGGGCAAACTTCTCACACAGAACCCCTATGACCAATAGAAAATACTTAAGGCCATCCAGTTCAACTTCCTTCACCAGGGCAAGAAAACGTAATCAAATACTGTTTACCCACAAGCATAAAGAAATTACATATATTAGAAACCAACATTTTCTCATTACTTTATTTTCCAGATCACCGGACTGGGCCACAGAAATGCGTGGCAGGGGATGGCTAGTACTATAAATAAATAAATAAATAAATAAATAAATAAAATAAATAGACTGTCAACTTATGCTCTTTGTCACTGTTACCATTCCGAGTCAGCCACAAAGCACTGCACAAGATCCTGTTCCTCATAGGGTGGCAACCTGTGTTGGACGGGGTTGCACTCCCCCTGAAGTCACAGATCCGCAGTCTGGGCATCCTCCTGGACTCATCACTTACACTTAAGGCTCAGGCGTTGGCGGTGGCCGGAAGGGCCTTTGCACAATTAAGACTTGTGCGCCAACTGCGACCGTACCTCGTGAAGACGGATCTGGCCAGGGTGGTCCATGCCTTAGTCACCTCCAGATTTCAATTGGTTCAACGGGCAGCCACCAGGTTGTTAACTGGTGCTCCTTACAGGGAGTGGTCAACCCTTCTGTTTAAGGAGCTCCACTGGCTTCCGTTCATTTTCCGGTCTAAATTCAAGGTGCAGGTTCTTACCTACAAAGCCCTGAATGGTTTGGGACCCTCCTACCTGCATGACTGCATTTCTGTGTACGAACCCACATGACCCCTTCGATCATCTGGAGAGGCCCTGATCACGCTCCCACCTCCATCGCAGGCACGATTGGTGGGGATGAGGGAGAGGGCCTTCTCGGTGGTGGCCCCTTGACTCTGGAACTCACTCCCCAAGAACATCAGGCATGCCCCAACTCTGGCAGTCTTTAGAAGAAGCCTGAAAACATGGTTGTTCCCAGAATTAGGAAACTCCCAGCAATATGTGCTCTAAATGCACTTTACTATGGATCTAGGAATGTCTGCATGCCCCATCCCTCCCTGAAATCTCTATCCTAGTTCATATTTCATCTGTTCATGCTCAGCATTATCTTTAAATTTTAATTATTACATTTGGCCCAGCCATAGGTTTTAAATGTCGTTGTGTTACTGTTAATGTTTATTGCTTATTTTTGTTATGAGTTTTATTTTATTGTTTTGTATTATTTGTTGTTATTGCTTTTATTATTGATGTATTGTGGGCTCAGCCTCATGTAAGCTGCACTCAGTCCCTTGGGAGATGGTAGCGCAGTATAAACATTATTATTATTATTATTATTATTATTATTATTATTATTATTATTGGCCCTGAATTCTAACATAGGCAGAGATGCTTGCACAACTACGAAGAAAGATTTGCTTGATCTTCCTTCCTTCATTTTGGTCACACAGGATGTCAGAATGGGATCCATCCCCCTTTCCCTTGCAGTCATCAGCCCAGGGGAAAGTTGATGTTGGCAGTGTCTCATCTGAACTGGTCTGGATTGGATCCAATCTAGCCGTCCATACTGCTCCAAAGCTGCAATTTTTAAATCCGTGCTACTGGAACACTATCGTCAAATGTTTTCTGCCACAAACCCTGTTTTATTTCACCAAAAAGGAGCAGGGTTCCTTTCACGTTTACCGAAGACCTTCTAATGCAGTATAATTCATACGGAAACTATGACAAAGGTTGCTATAGAAACACCAGAACTGGCTTGCACCTGAGCTAACCTAAGAGGAAAAGTTGAGACCTGAGGGCTTAATACACATGAAAGGGTTGCAATTATTGAAAAGAAAATCTAGCCCATCAACATGTAGCATATCTTCAGTATTGTGTTCCCAATGCCATGCTATAGAAAAGGCAACTGCTTCCCTGCAAGCCTGTTTTAAAGAGATGAGAATCAGTGTTTGCAGCAGCCAAATCTTGTAAGGACTGTTATTATGGTCACAGAAGGTGGTAGAACTAACATGTAAACAGTTAATAACATAAAATAACCAGAGGCCTATGGAGGGTGTATATCATTTGTAATGCAGCTGGCGAGTGTATTTTATTGACACAAGGGTTATAAAGAATACATAACTTTTCTATTGAAAGAGCTTCAGTGGTTACTGTTTCCACCCCTATAAAACCTAATACATGTCAAATCAGGATTGTCTTAATATGTGTCTAAAATCTTGTGGAGGGTTTTATCTCACTGTTGCAATCCAGAGCAGGGAATGAGGCCTTAAGATAACTATTCACCACACTTGACTGTGAAAAACAATCCTTTTTTATTGAAGAAAAATGGTTACAAAATAAAGGAAAAATGCAAGTCAAAAGCCACAGCAAAATCAGCAAACATGAATTTAAATGGACAAAACAAAACCCAAAACCACACTGTAAAATACTGGAACCTGTTAGCAATCCACTAACCGTGCTTGATATCCTAGATATCCTAGAAATCTTTCAAGACCATGGCCAGGGAAACCGGGAGAACTGCCAAGGTCTTCATCAATCTGAAACGATGCCTGAACTGAGAAAGTCAGCCCGGCGGAAGGCACTTAAAGCAGGAGAATTGGTTCCATGAACTGCCCCTCTGCTTTGAAGCCATTGTTTGTATTTCTCTTAATCGGGAAGACCTACGCAAGCTGAGTGATTTACTTCTGTCTTGCCAAATCTGGCCCCTTCTGTTCTCATTAAAGTTACCAGGTGCAGAAGGGAGTGAAAGGTCATGGCTTCCCTCTGAAACATTCTCATGAACACTGGTACTTTCATTTTCCAAACCTACAGAAGTTTCTTCCTCACTAATTTCAGGAGCATTGGCATCAAGAGGTACATTTTCATTAGCATCAGTAAATATATTTTCATTAGCATCAGGAGGAACAAACAGAGAATCGGGTTCAAGTTCAAACTCAGGCTGAACCCCAACACTCACTCCCATCATCATCACAGGTCCATCACAGGAAAGCGCCGTCTCAGATTCTGGATATTTGGGAATTAAATGACTGTACAGAAGGGCTATTTTTATTGTTTACTAGCTGTATCCACCATGCGTTGCTGTGGCCAGCCTTCCCTCCCTCTTTCTCTTCTTTCTTTCTCTCCTTCTTTCCTTTCTCTCCTTCTTCCCTTCCATCCCCCCAGTTTCTTTCCCTTCCTCGTTCTCCCCTTTCTTCCTTCTCTACTTATTCTTGGACTGCAACTCCCAGCAGTCCTCCTCATCCATCTATCTACCTACCTACCTTTCTATCTCCATCTAATCTATCTATCTGGAGGGTAGCTGCAAGTTGCAGTCCAGGAATAGGAAATTGGAAATATGCAAGGACATAGATGCTCTCAAAAAAAAATCCAAGAAGAAAGCTTGCAGCTTGGAAGCAGTGCATTTGGATCATCCTCCTCTCCTAAAAGGCCTGGCCTAGGGGATGCTGGGAGCTGTAGTCTGGAAGAGAGTGTGGATATGCTATTGTGTGTTTTGTTTGCTGGGAGAGTAGTTTTTGTACATGCACTGTAGTGTCTTTTTGCCTTTTTGGCCTTTTAAGTCCCTTACATTGTGTTTTTCAGTGTTTTTATGAGTGATGGTCAATCGTTGGCTTGATAGGTGTACTGTGTCCAAATTTGGTGTCAATTCGTTCAGTGGTTTTTGAGTTCTGTGAATACCACAAATGAACATTACATTTTTATTTATATAAACTAGCTTTACCCGCCACTCGTTGCTGTGGTCAATCTTCCCTCCCTCTTTCTCTACTTTCTTTCTCTCCTTCCTTCCCTCCCTCCCTCCCTCCCTCTTTCCTTCCTTCCCTCTTTTTCTTTCCTTTCTTGTTTCTTCCTTCTCTGCTTGTTTCTTTTCTCGCTTCCTTTGCTCTTTGGTTCCATCCTTCCTTGTCTCTTTCCTTCCCTCTTTCCCTCTTTCATTCATTCTCTCCTTCCTTCCCTCTTTCACTTTTTAATTTCCTTCTCTCCTTCCTTCCTTCTCTACCTTTCTTTCCTTCTCTCTTTCCCTCCTTCTTTCCCTCTTTCTCTCTCCTTTTCTCCTTCCTTCCTTCCCCCTTTCTGTGTATGTGTTTTGTGTGTGCATATATGTGTGTATATATATCTCTGTATATATTTGTGTAGTCATGTGTGTTTGCGTACATATGTGGTTTTGCGTATGAGTTGTAATGTATTTCTTGGGGTTTTTTTTTTTGCTTTTTATGTCTCTTCTGCTGTATTTTTCAGTTTTTTATGAGTGATGGTCACTGGTTGGCCTGATAGGTGTATTGTGCCCAAATTTTATGTCAATTTGTCCAGTGGCTTTTGAGTTATGTTAATCCCACAAATGAACATTACATTTTTATTTATATAGATTCCTATTGCTATGTATTTAAAAACATACTGATTTAGATGTGTGGATGTGAAGGAGGCATTTCAAGGCAGCCAACTGCAGCTCAACAGGCTGTGTAGATGAGGCTACAGGGGAACAGAATATATCAGAAGGCAGAAGCTTGCCTCAGAGAATACAGTCAGGATGTGGTATTGAAGGTTTGGAGAGAGAGAGAGAGAGAGAGAGAGAGATTCTGTAATTTTGCCTGAGCTGTGAACAATTTAAAGCTAAAGAAATATCCTTCCTGAAATCATTCTGGCAATCTCAACTGAATTTCTCTCCCTGCCCTCCACAACTTATCTGAGTAGAGCATATTTCTTGTGCATATATATTTTCCACAAACTTCTCTTCTGTTGCCTGTCCATGTCATAAGTACTAGACTAGATAAATGAGACTGGGCTGTACAGTAGGCTTGTTTGATAAAAAATTGTTCAAAACTCGTTTCGGATGTAGGGGGCGCTGGTGGTTCAGATCTAAAGTCAATTCCGATTTTCACAGAAAAGAAGTTCAAAACTTTGTGAAATTTCTGATACTTCTGAATCCTTCATTAATGCTTTCAAAGTGTTATTTCCTGTTTCATTGGGTGGTCTTTACTTTAAAAATAGTTGTTTTACTCCAGAAAAGGGGGGGGGAAGCAAAGGGAAGAAATCCATCCACTTTGGTTAAAACCGCTTCTCTTGCTAAGACTGATGCGAGAGGGAAAGGAAATGAAGGAAATCCATCCACACTGGTTTAAACTGACGCGGATCCATCCACGCTGGTCCGCTTCTCTCGCAAGAGGGAAAGGAAGGGAATCCATCCACACTGGTTTAAAATGATGCAAGAGGGAAAGGAAAGGAAGGGAATCCATCCACACTGGTTTAAACTGACTGGTTAAAACTGCTTCTCTCACGAGAGGAAAAGGAAAGGAAGGGAATCCATCCGCACTGGTTTAAACTGACCCGGGAGGGAAAGGAAAGGAAGGGAATCCATCCAACTGATGCGGGAGGGAAAGGAAAGGAAGGGAATTCATCTACACTGGCTTAGAATGCTTCTCTGGCTTGAACCAAGGCCAGGTAACAGAACAGAAGTGGGGGGAAAGCTGAATCATTTCCGACTCACTTACTGATTCGTAAGAGAAATGGCGGAAAAAGCTTCAGAAGAGCAAAGGGACTTCCGGTTTCCTTAAAAACTTCAAAATTGCTTCAAAAAGGAAATCTTTCCTAATTTATTCTGAATTATGAAGATTCCGACCAAACCTAACCATGCCTACTGTACAGACCAGTGGCTTAACTCAGTAGGCCATGTTTGTAAGATATTGTTTGAAGTGAGAATTTCTTTTTGCTATGAAATTACACTGCAAAAACGAGACTGTGTTTGTTCAAGGTCAACCTGATAAATGCAGGTTTGTGAGAAAATCTCTATTAGAATGTTAACCACCCTGTGACACTCCCCTAAGGTTCTGCCCTTCAGAGGAAAAAACAGAACAGTAAATAACTGTATGATTTGAAACGCTTAGAGTGTCGTGACAAAATCCATATTCATTTTTATGGCAAAAACTGTAAGAAGAGGCCAGCAAAAAGACACAGTTACATTTATTTCTTGCCAGGAGTAGATAAAGGGGATAATGTTCAAATATGTTCCTGGTCACAGAATAAGGAAATACGCTTCCATTTAAACTGATAGGCAGATTTTTAGATAGATATAGATAGATAGATAGATAGATAGATAGATAGATAGATAGATATAGATAGATAGATTTTTTAGATAGCAACTTCCTTCTGAAGTTAGCACCAAAGTCTGCCTTCCAGATGATTCTACACTTAACCAGTGGATATAGCAGTTCTTCCATTGTGACTAGATAAATAGGCAAACAGCCAAATCTATTTATGTAAAAGCTTTATCTATCTTGTCAGCTGGGCAGATTACTTAAGAAAGCTTCTTAGTTTTCTCTCCACCAATATCTGTGACCCAAGGATTCAAAACAGTCCTTCTGGCCCTCTTTGTGTACTCCTTTCCACAAATGAAACAGAGAAGTCTGAGTATAAGGACAGACCTTTTGTGCAACTAGGAACGAATGTCACAGCACTGTTCCTAAATATGATTGCAGGCTGTACTCATATTCAGTTACATGCAGAGAGCCCCCATTCTTGTATTCTTGTATTCATGCACAGAAATGGAGTAGAGTTGGTAAACAAAAACAGTCTAGAGGGACAGACTGTTTTCTGTTTATCTATATGTTGAAAATTGAATAGTGTGTAAAAAGTGAGTTTCTTTACAAAAACACATACATACTAGCAAACTTGTCAATAAGAAATGCAGCAATACTATTATGTGCTGTCTTAAGTTACTATTTCTTTTTCCATATCAATTCTTTTTCCACAGGGAGCAAATGCTAAATTCAATCTCCGTCTTGTTGGGCCTGGTGGTATTTTCCGAGTTGTCCCTCAAACGGTCCTTAATGAAGCACAAGTCACAATAATAGTAGAAGACTCTGGTGCCATAGATTATGAAAAGTTCCAGGTTTTCACCTTCAAGGTATTGTATCCACACATTCCTTCTTTAGTTAAAGCATGGTCAAAACACATGTATGAAGTAGTGTGATTCTTGTTTTCAGCTGGCTGGAATGCAACACAATACTGTGACTGTACTGAGGGCACACATATAGCTCCTGACTCCAAACTTGTTGTAGAAATGACAGCATCCTTTGCAGACCTTTAAAGTTTGAGTTTCAAAGTACCCAGATAGAACAACCAGGTCCCTAGGTGGTATCCCTCAGAACTGACTCCATAAGGATATAAATCATAAATGGTGTGTAAAAAGGAATAAGAAAGCAACAGTTATTTCACTTTGTTCTATGCCATTTTCCCCATTATACATCTCTACTGATTCCTTATGTTCCCCCAAGCCGTCCAAATAATGACACTCCTTTTGATGTTAATTCATCACTCTCAAGAGTTTGTATTTGGGTATGGATTGGCTATACAAATAAGAAATATTTGTGCACTTCCTCAGCCATAAAGGTTGCTATTTCATATTAACTTAGTGTATTTACATAAGTTGTTGGGTTTTGGGTTTTTTTTTCCAAAATGAGGCTGACTATGATTTCCATCTGAATGTATATGTGCCTTCATGTCACCCCCTATGCGTATGTGTCTTCGTGTCACTTTTTGCATTGGGTTTTCTGAGCCTACCTATGTTACAATAATCTTACTGTGATTATGCCATATACTACTGTATAAGTCTAGAAATTTTAATTCAAAAATATAGCCAAAAACTCTGAATCAACATATTTGTGGGCCAGTGTGAGTACTATACTTAATTGTAATTAAAAAGGAATAATTCCCTTCTCTGAATAAAGTGAGGAAAGACAAAACTGTAGCCCATTCCAGGAGAACCTAAAAGAAGCACCAACTGCCAGTAATCTCTCTGCCATGTCCTCTAAGACAGCATTTGTACTTTCCCTTCCTTGCAGAATGACTTTGACTTATCAACAAATACTTTTAGCCCTCAAAACTACCCTCAACTTATACATGAGTATATACAATACTTCTTTTTGTGAGTAGTTTCCTGTGTTGCATTGCAATGGTTAATCAATTGGGAATAGGCCACTGAGATGGTTACAGATCTGAAACCAAGCCTTATGAGGAATTACCTTGGAAGCTGAGTATGATAAGCTTGGAGAAGAAAAGACTGAGAGATGACATGGCAGCTATGTTGAAATATCTGAAGGGGCATCAGGCAGAAGATGAAGCAAGCCTGTTTTGTTTCTGCTTGAGAGAGTAAGAACCTTATTACAGTAAGGTCGGGCTTCATCATGCATCATGGCGAATCAATGGGGTCCTGGTGAGGGGCATGGAGTATCTGTGCCCCACAACCTGCATCGCCCAAATTACCACTGGCCCCATCCCACAGGAGGAAATGCTCATCACATGGCTTTTCACCATTGTTGTAAAGACAACATGGGAAGTGTCCCATGTTTCTGCAGAGGTAGTGTACACTGCTTGCTCTCACTTTTTGCCACGGAGCTCCACTGGAAGTAGATGTAAGTCGTGTAACAGGGTTTCTGGCAGAAGGGGAGAGCAAGCAGCATATGAAGGACAAATTAGCCCATATGATGAGATCGTATGGCTCACATTAATAGCTTGAAATTACAAGAGAAGAGATTCCACCTAAACATTAGGAAATATTTGCATACTGTATGGATGGTTCAATAGTAGAATAGACTTCCTCAGGGGGTAGTGGATGCTCTTTCTTCAGAAAACTTTAAACCAGGGTTGGATGGGCTCTCTTTCAGGAGAGCTTTAGTTGTGTATTCCTACATGGCAGAGAGTTGTACTAGATGGTTCTTCTGATCCCTTCCAGCTTTACGTTTCTATGTTTCTATGATTTTATGAATATTTCAATCTAGTGTTAAAGGACTTCAATCGACAATTCCAGACTCCTTTTGAACTGGTCATGACTTTTGCTTCATAAATTCATTTGGTTTAGATTAAGCAGATGTAACCAGAATGAAAGATATAATTATTCATACTAAAACTAGAACCATCACAGAAGGTTATGAAACCTTGCCCAAGTATTCATGGTAAAGAAATTACATGGTGTGGACTCATGAATACTAATAGAATTCAGCATGATTAACAAGGCTGCTGTAAACACTGAAGGAAGTAATTAAAAAGAGAAAAGAGTGTGTTTCTTTTTACTTATGAAATTGCACACTCTGACTCAGGCAAAACTGTTATTACTATTATTATCTGAATACAATCTCCAAAGGGCTTTGTTAGAAATTATACAGCTATTTTCCAGATTCAAAATATTTTAGTAAGAAAGGAAGTCAAAGAGAAATTCACTTTTTCACAGATGCAAGTAATGAAATCCTCCCTGGCTTTATTTAGGGGGCCAGATTTTCAAATGTAATTTTATATTAATATATAAGGGGAGGGACTTGTCGCTATTTGTCAGCTGGTTTCTAGTTCTCAGCTGAGAAGTACACATCATGCAAAGATAATTTTAGATTTCCTTTTTAAGGGCTATCTCTAATATCTGACTAGTCTAAATCACAGGAACAGTTAACAGCTTTTTTCACATTCCTGTTTGATTTGAGCCAAAAGCATTATTTCAGCCTTGACTTTAGGGGTGCAGATTTTAAATGCTGATGGTCAATTCTGCTCATATCTACCCACTAGCCGTCCCCTGCCACGCGTTGCTGTGGCCCACATGGGGGATCTGTGTGGGATGTTTGGCCCAATTCTATCATTTGTGGAGTTCGGAATGCTCTGTGATTGTAGGTGAACTATAAATCCCAGCAACGACAACTCCCAAATGTCAAGATTCTATTTCTCCCAAACTCCACCAGTGTTCACATTTGGGCATATTGAGTTTTTGTGTAGAGTTTGGTCCAGATCCATCATTGTTTGAGTCCACAGTGATCTCTGGATGTAAGTGAAATGCAACTCCAAAACCAAAGGACACTGCCCACCAAACCCTTCCAGTATTTTCTGTTTGTAATGGGAGAACTGTATGCCAAGTTTGGTTCAATTCCATCGTTGGTGGGGTTCAAAATGATCTTTGATTGTAGGTGAACTATAAATCCCAGCAACTACAACTCCGAAATGACAAAATCATTTTTTTGAGTGAAGGACATACCTTGGGTTGTTAGGCGTCTTGTGTCCAAATTTGGTGTCAATTCGTCCAGTTGTTTTTTAGTTCTGTTAATCCCACAAACGAACATTACATTTTTATTTATATAGATTCAGTTAGCAGTTTCTGGCCACCCTTCAGGTTAATTGATAACCTCCACTACACAACACTGCCACTATTATACTTTGATTATCTTTGTTCTTACTCATTTTTAAGCAGAGTAAGGGAAAAAATCAGATTACAATTCCCTGAATCCTCCTGACTGAATATGTTGTAGGTCAAGCCAAAACTGTTGCCCAAGCAAGTTAATTTTTTTAAGTTTACCTTTACATCCTACTTTTGAGTCTTCAGAAGGTTTTAAAGAACTGTGAGATCAACACTACAATGACACTGTATAAGTGGCAGAACATACCTGGAAGCAGCCTAAGCCATCAGGAACTGGGCAATCCATAACTTTTGAACTGTTTTTTGAAAGCAGTGTCCAACTGTCCATGCACATGTGGTGGACTTGTAAAATAGCAAATTAACTGCTGGAAAAATATACAAGAAAGAATTCAGAAAATATATATAAATAAAAATTCAATTGAAACTGGAATATTTCCCTATTGGGCATAATGGACATAGACATAGATAAAAACAAGGATATATTGTTCAATTACCTTGTGACGGCAACTAGAATAATTTATGCCAGTCAGTCAGTAGCCTTTATTTCGGTCAACATACCATCGGCTAAGTCAAGTGAAAGTAAAATAATGAAATATAACATTTAAGTAATTAATAACATCACATTTGGCTTATGATTAATGAAAACAGGTATCACCATTCGCTATCGGTTGAATGGCTGACTTTATAATCTAAAACAGGAACTGATCACCAATTAATAATAAGTCTCCCGAGTACTCTTTGTTACACTCTTAGTGTTTACAGGTTATTCATGAAGCACTTGCGGCTTTTTGCCGCTGCAAAGAGAAATTTGGCCACCTGTTCCATTATCCTTTTGTCAAGATCAGACAGTAAATAAGTGCAGTACCAACTTAGGGTTCTTCCTGGCCACTTGGTGAGTAGAGGGGATATTAACCTTAGTCTATCATCCTTGTAAACTGTGCAAATAAAAAGTACATGTATTACAGTTTTGATTTTACCCTCCCTGCAAGGACAGGCTCTGTGTTCATAATCAGTCCCTCTAGTATGACTGATTTGAGGGCATTGAATCTGGCCCAACTGAAAGCAAGACGAAATTTTGGGATGTTTAAATTTTCTAAGTATTTGGCACCTCCCAAAGAATTAAATGTTAAGCCTAAACTCAATGGAGAATGGAGCCCCCGGTGGCGCAGTGGGTTAAAGCACTGAGCTGCTGAGCTCGTTGATCGAAAGGTTGCAGGTTCGATTCCGGGGAGCGGCGTGAGCTTCCGCTGTTAGCCCTAGCTTCTGCCAACCTAGCAGTTCGAAAACATGCAAATGTGAGTAGATCAATAGGTACTGCTCCGGCGGGAAGATAACGGCGCTCCATGCAGTCATGCCAGCCACATGATCTTGGAGGTGTCTACGGACAACACTGGCTCTTCGGCTTAGAAATGGAGATGAGCACCACACCCCAGAGTCAGACATGACTGGACTTAATGTCAGGGGACTACCTTTACCTTTACCAATGGAGAATAATTTATGCAAGAAATTGAAGAAAGAAAGAACTTTCATCAGTGGATGAATGGCTTTTGAAAATAGCCAAAATAATGAGTATGACTCAGCTACTAACTAACCACCAAGGTAGGACCAAAAGAACAACGGACTGACCACCATTCAAAGACTATTTGAAACAAGAGAAAATGAAAATGATAATATAGTATAACAAAGGGAAAGAGAAAAACTGTTTACACTTGGGGAAAAGACAAGTGGGGAAGCAGAAATCAACAAGAGATGAGAAAAAGCTTTTTTAACCATTATGAAGAAGATTGAAGGTCAACAAACTCTCCCCTTTTTTCTTCCTTTCCTTCTCATATTCTTTGTCATTCCCTGTATTCGTAGAAATAGTCCCTCCATAGGTGATAGTTGTTCCCTACTTCTATCCTAAAAGCCCATTCTCCTGCCCTTACTATTCCTATTTTATGATATTGCATTAAATATTTATACTAATAAAAATAGAGAGAGAATGAGAGAGAGAGAATATGAAATCTGAATGGCTTAGGATGGTGAGTTATGTTATACATTATAAAAGAAACAAAGCATCCCAGAATGAACTTCTAATCGCTACTCTGATCAAGAAGAATTTCTTTCTTGAACTAGAAAGGGGAACAATAGGTAACCAAAGTCAAAGATGTGCTTTCTCAACCCAAATATCTTCATAATTACTATTCTTTATATCCTGCATTAACAACCTCAGATATGCATTAACAACCTCAGATATGCAGATGACACCACTCTGATGGCCGAAAGCGAGGAGGAGCTGAGGAGCCTTCTAATCAAGGTGAAAGAAGAAAGCGCAAAAGCCGGGTTGCAGCTAAACATCAAAAAAACCAAGATTATGGCAACAAGAATGATTGACAACTGGAAAATAGAGGGAGAAATCGTGGAGGCCATGACAGACTTTGTATTTCTAGGTGCAAAGATTACTGCAGATGCAGACTGAGCCCAGGAAATCAGAAGACGCTTACTTCTTGGGAGGAGAGCAATGTCCAACCTCGATAAAATAGTAAAGAGTAGAGACATCACACTGGCAACAAAGATCCGCATAGTCAAAGCCATGGTATTCCCGGTAGTAACCTACGGATGTGAGAGCTGGACATTAGGGAAGGCTGAGCGAAGGAAGATCGATGCTTTTGAGCTGTGGTGTTGGAGGAAAGTTCTGAGAGTGCCTTGGACTGCGAGAAGATCCAACCAGTCCATCCTCCAGGAAATAAAGCCCGACTGCTCACTGGAGGGAAGGATACTAGAGACAAAGTTGAAGTACTTTGGCCACATCATGAGGAGACAGGAAAGCCTAGAGAAGACAATTATGCTGGGGAAAGTGGAAGGCAAAAGGAAGAGGGGCCGACCAAGGGCAAGACGGATGGATGGCATCCTTGAAGTGACTGGACTGACCTTGAGGGAGCTGGGGGTGGTAACGGCCGACAGGGAGCTCTGGCGTGGGCTGGTCCATGAGGTCACGAAGAGTCGGAGACGACTGAACGAATGAACAACAACATATCCTGCATTAGATTTATCACCTTACCTACATTCACAGTTGGAGGTGAATATGAAAGTTTCTGTACGTTGTCCTCTTAAGAATCCTGTTGCTTAATATTAAGTGTCCCAAGAATATTCATTAATCCTAATGACTAAACAAACAATCTCATAAAGTCTTACATTCAAACCACTGTAGAATGATCAAATATTCAAATGGTAAGGGAGTGAGACAGCTTGGCGCATAGTAAGGGATCAAATAACTGAACACAAGGATAAACTCATATAATTCTCATAAAATTTCTGCAATTCTCCCTCTAGCTTAATATGTCTGAATATCACATAATCTGTTCTGGTATAGTGTGTAACATAATCAACTCCTTGCCTTCTCTTCCTTCATTTCCTCCTCTTTTAATGCTGTGCCCAGTTATCACATAATATCCTTATTTGGCAAAACCTTCTAATGATGCAACGGTTGCATCACAATCTGGTGGCATCCAGTCGTTTGTGACTATAGTTATCAGAAGCTTGACTAACCAATGGTTAGAAATGTGCAAGTTGTCTAATTTCCCCAATAGATTGTGAATGTGTTGAAACTTTTGAGAAGCTAACAATCACCAACAGGGGCAACTCAAAAAATATACAACAGGAATGTGGCTAAGATGTTTATTCATAGATTTTAGCAGATTGACTTCTTTTTTCTTATCAGCTTTGCTAACCTTTTGAAGGTCACCACTTTATTTGATTCTATGTGAAGTGTGTTGAGCTTTCTCTTGTTTTTCTTCATAACGCTTTTGTAAATTTCATATAAAATTCCAGTGATCTAAAAAAATAAGATACTATGTGATTTTTTTCAATTTTTTTCTAACTCTAATAATGGTATTTCTCCAATTACCTCCCTAGCTTCTTGCAATAGAAGTCAACACACCTGAGAAGTTTAGTTCCACAGCTGATATTGTGATCCGTCTTTTGGATACTAATGATAATGTCCCCAAATTTTCCTCTGATTACTACATTGCTAGAATTCCAGAGAATTCTCCTGGTGGCTCCAATGTAGTGGCTGTAACAGTAAGTTTTATTCCATGAGATCCATGTTCTGTTTAAATTTACTGAATTCATTATTATCTCAATATCTGTAGTTATGAGGGGTAGAAAAAAAACTGAAAATATTAAAAGAATGTTTGAAAACTAGATATTTCAAGAGTCAGGAAATTATGAAGAATCCTAGAAAGATTAAAATTCAAATTTTGAGACTTATTGTAATGTTATATTGTTATTGTATTCATATGTTTTTGTGTAATTATGATGCTGCTGCTTGTTGCTTATGTTTTTGGTTTTATTTATTTATTTAAAAGTTTTATATACCGGCCTTCTCACCTCTCTTGAGGGACTCAGACCGGTTTCCAACCATAATATCACATACAATCAATAAAACATCATAATTCATATTACAATAAAACATTAAAACAGCAATTACAATCAATAACTACAATGGTCAGTCGTCAGACTAAAATCGTTGCTCTTCATCCTCCATCCATATCTCAGGGTGTTGACTCACTCGTTGAATGCCTGTCTCCATAGCCAAGTCTTCACCTGTTTCCTAAATGTCAGGATAGAAGGGGCGGTTCTGATCTCCAGTGGGAGCGAGTTCCAGAGTCGAGGGGCCACCACCGAGAAGGCCCTGTCCCTCGTCCCCACCAGACGCGCTTGTGAGGCCAGTGGGACCAAGAGCAGGGCCTCTCCAGATGATCTTAATAATCTTGATGGTTCATAGGGGAGAATACGTTCAGAGAGGTAAACAGGGCCGGAGTTGTTTAGGGCTTTATAGGTTAACACTAGCACTTTGAATTGTGCTCGGAATCTAATTGGCAGCCAGTGGAGCTGGTGTAACAGCGGAGTGGTGTGCTCCCTGTACCCAGCACCCATTAGTAATCTGGCTGCCGAGCGTTGGACTAGCTGCAGCTTCCGGGCAGTCTTCAGAGGCAACCCCACGTAGTTATATAGTTGTTATAGTTGCTATAATATGTTGTCTGGGCTTGGCCTCATGTAAGCCACCCCGAGTCCCCATTGGGGAGATGGTGGTAGGGTAAAAATAAAGATTATTATTATTATTATTATTATTATTATTATTATTATTCTACACACAAAAAGAATGTTTTTTTCCAGCACAGGAAATTAGTTATTTGTTTGTTTATTTCTAACCCACCCTCTCTCCCTGAAGTGACTTAGGGCAGTTGTAATTTACAGAAATGCAATTTCTGTGCACACAAAATATGAATTTTCTGCACAAAATTTCACATGAATGTTTTTGCAGAGAACAAATCCCAGATTGCAAATAGTCTTTGAAACTGGTGCTGTTTTCAACATCTTTCTTGTAGCAAAGAGAAAAGGGGTGAACTTATTCATTCTTGCTTTCAAGAACAAAATTTACAAAGATGTACATTCCCAGTAGTTATTTTCTAAATTGGTTTACATACATCCCAGTAAGTTCCTCTGAAAAATCACAAAACACTAGGTTATCATGCATCGACAGTAGGATCTCACATTATTTTAAATACAAAATCAAACTAAAATGAATTTTCAGACTAAATTTGAATTCATCAGGAGGTCTACTGCAGTGAAATGAAATCTGGGACTTATGTGACAAGTTGAAATGCATTGGTTAAATGGCTACACCAGAGGTCCACAAACTTTTTAAACAGAGGGCCAGGTCACAGTCCCTCAAACTGTTGGAGGGCCAAATTATAATTTGAAAAAAGCATGAATGAATTCCTACGCACACTGCACATATCTTATTTGTAGTGCAAAAATAACCACTTAAAAACAAAGCAATAATTAAAATGAACATTTTTTTAACAAATATAAACTTATTAGTATTTCATTGGGAAGTGTGGGCCTGCTATTGACTGATGAGAAAGGATTGTTGTTGTTGTTGTTGTTGTTGTTGTTGTTGTTGTTGTTGTGTGCTTTCAAGTTGTTTCAGACTTAGGTTGACCCTGAGTGAGGGCTAGGTAAATTACCTTGGAGGGCCATATTCGGCCCCCAGGACATAGTTTGAGGACCCCTGGGCTACACTATACATCTGATCCGTAATAGACTCACCCTGAGAAAATAGTATAAAAGGAACTACCACGTGAAATGGTGCAGGCCACTCAATTTCCTCCAGCAATTTCCCCTACATTCTGAAACAAGAATTGCACAGGGAGAATAACAGATATGTAGAATATTTTCCACAAAATATTTCCCACATAATTATCTTTAAGTGGAAATTCTTTTATACAGTCCTAATCGCAGAGCATATTCAGTATGACAGTTAGGAGCAGAGTAGTTTGACTTTATGACAGTATGGCTGAGTGGCACATCAAATTACTGCTATTCTGTGACCTTTTTAGTAATGTCTGTGTTATCAAAAGCATATCTGCAATATGGATTTTCAGCTGCCATTGTTTCTCTTTTTGTGTTTTGAAGGTACTAATGCACCCTAATAACAGTGGCTTAAATCCAATTGTTAGTCCCAACTAGTGTACAGCCTTCAATCAATTGGATTGATTTGTGTTGACTCATCACTCCAACATTGATTCATTTGATCTGCTCTAGCTGTTACTATCCAATAGCATTCAAACCATTTTAAAAGGTCTTTGTACTTCACCAAATTGCAGTTCCCAGAATTCTTTGCTTGCGGTCATCTAAATTCAGTATATGCAAATACAATGTATCTATTTACTATAGATTTGCCCTCTCCTGCATTGCATGCTTCCTCTGTTTCATATATTGTTAAACTGGAATATCATACAACAATTGAAAACAGTGGCTGTACATAGATGGCAAAGAGCAAGAGCATGATTTTCAGAAATGGACTTTATTTTCTAATTTCCCAATCTCCATAATGCCAAGATATTTTGTTAATAGACAGTATAAATGGATTGGGGAACATTTCCTATTTTTGCTGTCCTTAGCCTAAAGTCAGCAGCATCTATCCTAAGTGTAGAGAGCCATCATGTGGTCAGACAGGTTTATGCTGCAGGTTCAGAGAGTTTGGGTGGAAATTTTCATCTATACCTTTTTATGGTTTTTCTTGAGTCCAAGTTAATGGTTACTGGAATCTGATCTTGAGACATATTTTAGTGTTTCACACATCTCAAAAAACATAGAGTTTCCAAAGCTGCTTACATCCTGCAAAACTCTTGCCCCATCTACACATCTGCAATTTGAAACTGCTTTGTATGATCAACGTAGAATCATATCATGCAGTTTATATGAATCTACACTCACCAAATAATGCTTTTTCAAACAGAAAGTGAACCTGGTCCTTTTTCCAATCTCCTTTCACTGACAAGCCAAGATCCTTTTTGTTCAACTAGCTCTGAATGAGTAACTGCCTGCAGGGGAGACTTTTATGTTGCACTATTTTTAACTTTTGAAAAATAATGTTATTAAAATAAAATTGATTAAATTGATTTAAAAATATGTAAAGTTAAATGTATATAGAAGGGGTCTTCAAACTTTTTAAGCAGAGGACCAGGTCACAGTCACTCAAACTGTTAGAGGGCCGGATTATAATTTGAAAAAAAAAATGAATGAATTCCTATGCACACTCCACATATCTTATTTGTAGTGCAAAAAAACCCCACTTAAAATAATACAATAATTAAAATGAAGAACAAATTTAAAAAATATAAACTTATTAGTATTTCAATGGGAAGTATGAGCCTGCTTTTGGCTGGTGAGATAGGATTGTTATTGTTGTTGTTGTTGTGTGCTTTCAAGTCATTTCAGACTTAGGTTGACCCTGAACAAGGGTCGGGTAAATGACCTAAGAGGGCCGTATCCGGCCCCCGGGCCGTAGTTTGAGGACTGCTGGTATATAGCAATACATAAGCAACCTCCCATCCAAAAATAAACTATTTTTAAACTTATTAACATGCATATCTAATAAAAATAAGTAAATAATACAGCTACATAACTAACTATTTTAGCAAGGGAACATTCAGACTACAGTTATATAATTTCCACTGTATTTTTCTCCTCTACATTGCTAATATAAATGAATATTTAAGTTCTTTATTTTGACTGTTATTTGTTACTTCTACTTGTATATGCTTTTAATTAACTTTCAAATCCTAAAATTACTTCTGCCCCTTTATTCTTTGAACTTTTCCACTGTCGTTTTGTATTCATTTAGTCAATTTGTCCATCTCTGTCGTTTTTTTCCCATAGCTATAAAGTGAAGTAGTGTGTGGGTTTTTTCTATTTTATTTTATTTAAAATTAATTTTAATAAAATAAATTCATATTTATACACTAATTTATTAATTTTTAGGATTTTTAAATGGCCACATCCCTCACCTTCTTCCGTAAGAACTGGAAGACTTGGTGGTTTCATCAGGCCTTCAATAAAAACTAGTCTCAAGTCTTAAGCCCTTGGTCCAACAGTTAGGACATGGCCTTGTACCCCATCCATTCCCCAGTTCCCTGTCATCTGAGGACACTTTTTCTTCCAGCCCAGACCTTTTTTTTTTATAGTCCTTTAATTGGCCCTGGAATTGAGTGGCCATTGCTGAGACCGGTCCTTGTACCGTAGCATTCAGCCAGCCCCATTTTTCCCTTCTCCTTGCACTAGCCTTGGCCCAGCCTGTTCCAAATAGTCCAGGCCCCTTATTGAAATCTTGGCCCCTGGCAGCTTACCTTGCAGGAAGAAGAGAGTGGTTTTAAATTGATTTTGATTTATATGTTCTGTTAACAGTTTATGCCTATGTTTTGTTTTATACCATATGCTTTTGTATTATTTTGCATATGTGGAAACTGCTCTGAGCCCCTTAGGGGAGATAGGGCGGTATATAAATAAAGTTTTATATTATACTAGCCGTCCCCTGCCACGCGTTGCTGTGGCCCAGTCTGGTCATCTGGAAAATAAAGTAATGAGAAAGTGTTGTTTTCTAATATATATAACTTCTTTCTGCTTGTGGGTAAACAGTATTTCTTGTTGTTTCTTTGTCAGTGTTGATGTGGAGATTGTCTGGTTTCCCTACCCTGGGATATGTAACATATTATTGTCCTTCTTTAGGGGTCCCTTTCAAATCTATGATACTATATCTCTCTGTGTGTGAATCATATCTATCTATATTTATGGCTGGATGGCTCTTTGTCGGGGGGGCTTTGATTATGTTTTCTTGCCCTGATGAAAGGAGTTGGATTGCATGGCCTTGAGTATTTTCTGTTGGCTGTGGGGGTTCTGTGTGGAAAGTTTGCCCCAATTCTGTCATTGGTAGGGTTCAGAACGCTCTTTGATTGTAGCTGAACTATAAATCCCAGTAACTACAACTCCCAAATGTCAAGGTCTATTCCCCCCAAACGCCATCTGTGTTCATATTTGGGCATATGGAATCTTCACGCCAAGTTTGGTCCAGGTCCATCATTGTTTGAGTCCATGGTGCTCTCTGGATATAGGTGAACTACAACTTCCAAACTCAAGGTCAATGCCCACCAAACCCTTCTAGTGTTTTCTTTTGATCATGGGAGTCCTGTATGCCACATTTGGTTCATTGCCATTTTTGGTGGAGTTCAGAATGCTCTTTGATTTTAGGTGAACTATAAATCCCAGCAACTAAACTCCCAAATGATAAAATCAAAAAAATTTGAGTGAAGGACATACATTGGGTTGTTAGGTGTCTTGTGTCCAAATTTGGTGTCAATTGGCCCACTGGTTTTTGAGTTCTGTTAATCCCACAAACAAACATTACATTTTTATTTATATAGATTATAATGTTATGAAGTTGTAATTTAGATTTATAGCCATGTAGCTCTTTCCTGTGTAGATTCATGGTTGTGGAATCATTTTGATGATCATCATTGCCACTGAAAATGCTATCTTGAAAACCAATCAGCCATCCTTGAAGGATGGAGTTCTGTGGCATTGGAGAAGGAGGCACTATATGCATTTCTATGTAGCATTCTGCAACTCTCTCCTACCAGCAGGCGATGATGTGAGGAGCAGAAGTAGGATTCCCTACCGAGTCGTGTCTCAACTCCGAACTGCACTGTTGTCACATCTTGCTCACCAGTGCCACAAAACAGATCAGTGAATGAATGTCCCTAATGTGGGCTCTCAGACAGTGCTTTTAGCTTTGTCAGCCACATTAGATCCTAAGCTGGAGAAAAAGGTGACATATCTGTGGAATGAGTGAATGACCATAAGAATGATTTTTTTTCCAGGCAGCTGCCCCTGTTTATTTATACATTGTAATTCCACCCTCAGCTACTTCTGTAATCTACGTGAAAGTTGATATAATTTCCATTTTTATCAGTTCCCTCTTTCCTTTCTGTGTTTAAGGCTACAGACCCGGATTCAGGACTTTGGGGTGAAACAAAATACTCTATATACGGAACAGGAGCAGATCTGTAAGTATTGCAGATAGATAGATAGATAGATAGATAGATAGATAGATAGATAGATAGATAGATAGATAAATGATTTTTTAATAGAACAAGTTTGGATGTTTTTGAGAGGTCTTGGGTATAGTACAAGAATAAAAGTATTGCTGTGATGTATCCAATTCAAACACAGTATTTATTTCTTAAAGAGGATGTATGCTAGTTGCTAGTTAACAGGGCTCTATTTTAAGTACTACTTTTTATTTGCTATCTTTAAATTCCCTTAGTAAGTTCATATTCTTTAGATGCCTAAACTGTATTTCAAAATGTTTGATTGATATTTGAAGTTCTTCCAATGCTAGAAATGCAGGGACTGAAGGCAAATGCTGTATGTGTGTTTGTGTGTGTCTGTGCCTTCAAGTCACCTGTTGACTTATGGTGATCCCAAGAACTTTGCAGAATTTTCTTAGGAGGGCAATGCTCAGAGGCAGTTTGCCAATTCCTTTCTCTGAAATATCCTTTTACAACCTGGTATTCTTTGGTAGTCTCCCATCCAAGTACTAGCCAGAGATGGCCCTGCTTAGCTATCAGAATCAGATAGGGTATGGTGCCTTTAGGTTATCTAGGCCCCCATAGAAGGCAGCATTCTTATTGGGAGGGCAATGCCCCTCAGTTTTCTCCTGCTCCCAAACATCATCATTTCTCCCTTTTGTTTTTGCAAACAAGTAACTAGGAACACTGCTATAATCAGGACCATGAACCAGTTGTGGCCATTAACAAATAAAAAAGCGAAAACAGTGACTCATTATCTTCCCCTCTTTAACTGAAATTATCGACAAGAAAATTTTTGCTCAGCATGAATTGTACATCCCCAGATGCTTGTTATTGTTACTGTAGAAGAAGAACAGGCAGAATCCAATATTTTGCCATTACAATTCATGGTCATGCCAAAACAATTTTCCCACACTCCAAATTATTTAATGTGATTTATTAGCTAGTTTTTCTTTGACTGTATTTTAAACTTCCCCATTGTGCTATCACAACAACCCTGTGATAAAAGTCAGGCTAAGAGAGGATGATGGTTCAGTGGGTGCTAGAACCTGTTTCTTCTCTCCAAGTTTGAACAATACACCATCTCTCCCTTTTAATCAGAATTTATCTGGTACCTATCAAATGCATCTAACTGGGTTAGTGTTTAACACAAACTGACATAGAGAGGTACTTGTCATTTAAGATTACACTGGGTTTAAACTGACCTATGATCTCATAACATTGAGGTCACTGATCTGGGTTATAGAGGGGGGGGGGTATTCATCATGGATTGTGGCAAATGCAGTGGAGGTTGTAGGGAAGCCCTGCCCTACTTTGCCCACATTACCACTACCTCATCCCATGGGGAAAAGCATCCCTGCCCAGCTTTGTTGTTCTCTGTGCAATGCAGGAACCCACTCGTGTTGCTGGCACTGCTTTTTATGATAGTCCGCCCTCACTTTAGGCACAGAGCCCCATCAGAAGCAGGTTGACATCATGTGATGGGATCTGGCAGGCTCCATGCCTGAAGTGAGGGTGAACTGTTGTAGCCTATCCAATGAGGTCCCTAGAGATTGGGAAAAATCCTTAGCTATGCAGGGGATTATTTCAGAATTCTTTGCAATGAGGAAAACATTATGTGAAGCTCAAAAATAAAATCAGTTTGTACAGGAACAAAAACTGGAACTCTCACAGACTTTCTTTTCTTCTCCGGAGAGGCACAGACTCACCCTGTGATTGCTGCATGATATCTACATCATGTACAGTTGGAGCTTCCAGGAAGGTCTCGAGTGATCCTAGTTTTTTTGAAGTGTAAATGGTTGGATCTGGCTGGATCCAGCCTGATGAAGTGTCCAACAGACCTACTACTGTGTAGCTGGCCAGAAGCTGGTCCTTACAGAGGCTTGCTGGTGACATAATTTCTGATGTGAGAGAGCTACTTTTGGCCAGTGCATAGTTAGTGGTGGTCACAATGCACTCTCAGCTGGGCCAACCATCAGGACACCAAAAGGATTCCAGGAGCTCTTTCCTGTTGCATTGGGGCAGCTCCGGGCCACAGAACTTTGGATTATTTGGGGAAGTGTAGATGCCTCCCCCCCAGCTGTATTTGTTTGGGAAGGATAATAATGCTTTGGATTATTTGAGTAAGTGTAAATTCATTCTACCCTTTCTCCATTAGCATGTATTGGAAAGGGAAAGGATTCAATATTACAAGCATTTAACTTTAAAATTTCCAGCATATCTAATACAGGACACTCCAAACATACCAGAGAATTACTGTTTTGCATTAGCTTGAGCATTAGAAGAAAATAAAGTCTTCTCCCCTTGAAGTTTTAAATGAGGGCTGATAAACTGTTCAATAAAACAAACAAAACTGCCAAATATTGTGTGTATCATGTTTGCTATGCTGGTATTCTGAATGTCTCGGTCTTATTTTATTTATAGCATGACTGAATCTCTCTCTCTCTCTCTCTCTCTCTCTCTGTGTGTATATATATATATATACACACAGAGAGAGAGAATAGATAGATACACACACCACCACAACAACAACAACTGTGCAGTGCTTTTTTCTTTCGGTGCAGTGAAAGGAAAACTATTAGATTGTACCACCCACTTACAAAAAAACTGTTAACAGGAAATATAACCAAAGTGGATTAGAAATATGCAATTTGAAATGACAGACAATAAATCTTTCCCACTCACATTTCTTTGCCAGACAAAGAGGCCCAAGAGGACTTGTATAATACTTAGCATTACAGTTAAACATCAATGTTGTACTGCTTTTTGCAGAATTGACTAGCATGGATTTGGATTTAAAGCCATTCTTGACTTTAGATACAACACTGCACATCCCTTAAGCCAATGTTTCTCAACCTTTGGACCTCCTGATATTTTCCAGAATCCCTGACCATTGGGCATGATAGATGAAACTTCTGGGAGTTATTCTAAGATATACGGAGGTTGAGAACTACTGCCTTAAGTAATTGGTAATCGGGCTGTGGATAAATGCTAGGTTTTCTATTACAGTGAGTTAGATGGACAGTGTTGTGTTGATATAACAACAGCAACAACATACCCAGCAAATTCAGAATCCTGGTATTGCTTCTGCATAGCTTGTTTTCCAAAGAATTAATTATGCAATGTGCATTTTAACCTGAATTTTAATGTGTTCTGAATAGTTTCTGAAAATGCTGGCTAGTTCAGTTCAGCTTGATTCTAAAACAAGTATTTTATTGCTATCAATATCAAATGTTGTTTTGAACAGATGCATTCCATTAATTAATTCTGTTTTACTGTGAGTTTTATAGAGAATGGTCTAATGGAATTTGTAAATAAACCAATTAACAAATAAACAAATACTTTCCAACTATTCATGCATTATTGGGAATAGAGCCAATGTAGCAGTAAGAGGGAGAATTTGCTCTGAAAATTATCCATCTGGACGAAGAATTTGTCCTTCCTTCTACTCTCTTCTTTGTAGTTGATGAACTTAATCCTTTCTATGAGGGGTATTTTTTAAGTAAGGTCCGTTTTGTTGTAGACACTAGTAGTTCGCGTGCATACCACTGTGCTCAGTTTCCGCTCTGTAGCTAACCTGTACGGTTCTGTTCTGTGCTTTAAAAATGTCTAAGACTATCAACTCACCCGCCGCATGTGAGGTTCACTCAGTGATACGGTTTTTGTCAGCAAGGAACTTGCCTGCTGCAGAAATTCATTGACAGATTTGTGAAGTGTACGGTGATACTGTTATGAGTGAAAGCAAAGTGCGTAATGGGTACGACAATTCAAAGATGGCCATGACAACGTCCATGATGAGGACTGCTCCGGTTGCCCTTCTTTGATTACAGTGAACTCTTGGTTATCGGAGCAGGCAGCAAGTTTTTATGAAGAGGGTATTTTAAAATTGGTTCAGAGGTATGATAAGTGTTTGAACAAACTTGGCAACTATGTCGAAAAATAGAGTGAAGTATGTACTTTCTGAAAATAAATTTACTTTTTTGAAATAAACTTTTGTTGTGTACTTATGTTCAAACGGACCTTACTTAAAAAATACCCCTCGTATATTGTTTTCCAGATTCCTGATCCATCCATCCACTGGAATTATCTACACCCAGCCATGGGCTACATTAGATGCAGAAGTCATTTCCAAATATAACTTTTATGTGAAGGCAGAAGATACTGAAGGGAAGTACAGCTTAGCAGAAGTCTTTATTACTGTGCTTGATGTCAATGACCACTCCCCAGAGTTCAATGAGAACATCCAGGAAAAAACGATGATTATTGGATCGCCAGTGAAAGTAGAGGTGAGTCATGATCCATGATACTTATATTTTTGAGTATATGTGCTGGCATGTATCATTATGATCATTTCATTGTAAAGTCATGTTTCATAATAATATGTTTTCATTAACATCCAGTTATATGTGAACTTATCCGTATGGTTATTAACTCCTTTAATTATTTTATTCTGCCTTAGAGAAACCAAGGAGCAAAACTCATGATAGTGCTTCTGTATATTTTTGTGGAAATATTAAGGGGAAATGTCTATAGAAACACTGAAACCTGCATTTGGGGAGAAAGAAAGGGAGAGAAAAAGGGCACCGGTGGACAAAGAGAACAAACCTTGAAATGGAAAGACAGAGCTAGACAGAGAGTCCCTCCAGTCCTCCAATTCAGACAAACGTATTGGGGCATGCCATATTTTTATCATAGTTCTTCGGGGTTTGTAAAATATCCAAACAATGTAGCTATGTTTGGAGTTTTGGCAACTCCTAACATAGGGTGCAACATTTTATTCTCACTGGCTGGAGAGTGGTGGTATTTGTAGTTCCAATACCAACTAGAACAAAAAACATTCACACCTAGCTCCAGCAGACAAGTGTCCTTTGTCTCACCCTAGTCATTCCACAGATATATAAACCCTTTTTCCTAGTTCCAACAAACCTCACTACCTCTGAGCATGCTTGCCACAGATGCAGGCGAAACGTCAGGAGAGAATGCCTCTAGACCATGGCCATATAGCCCGAAAAACCTTACAACAACCCACTGATTCTGGCCATGAAAGCCTTCAACAATACATAGAACAAAAAAATTCTGTGACTTCCTTTCTTTTAACTTTTTCTTTGAGTTATAGTACTATAGTTACTATAGTGAAATGGCACTCCTATACTATAACTTTTCCTATTTTTTGAAAAAAGAACGTGGGAGAAATCTTGCCCTTCAAACCATAGAGTCACCTCAACAAACCATGTCATAGTTTTAAAAGCCCTTGAAAAGCTCTAGGGCCAATACATGAAATAGTCAGAAATAGCCCCTCAGAAGACAGGGCAGGTAAATGAAGAGGTGATAAAAGCCAGCAGAAAATAGCAAAACTCAAGGAGCTTTATCATGAGAACTCACACTTCTTTAACTGTAAAAGCCCAAAGGCAGAGCAGTGTTTTAAGGACAACAGAGAGATCTTAGGGGACATTGGCGTAAGAGAAAAACAGATAAACAGAGCCAGTGAAATATTTTCAGGGAGGTATATATAGTTCAAAGAAATTGGATGAAGATTTGGAGGACAGAGAAAGCTGAAGTCTTCTTACCACCTGATGTCTTCTGCAATTCTGTTTATTTGCTTTATTGTATCTGGCTTTTCTGACAATTACTGCCTCATGAAGTCATTCAGGTTAAATAAGCGAGAAGTATGCTTGTGCATGGAATTGGATTGGTCTGTTCCCTTCAGCAAATCCAACTTGTTCAGACGGCCGTAATAATAAAGGCTCAGCCACCATGTGTTTTTTTCCTGAAACAGCCCACATGGCTGCTGAGCACAACTTCTTCCCTTCTATTCAGGAGCATGTAGTGCATGCTTCCTTAACCCTATTCCTCAAACCCAGGCTCCCTCAAAAGGAAGGAAGAAAAGGAGCCCAGGAAGGGTGCTTCTTTAACCCCATTGCTCAAACCCAGACACCTATGAAAGGAAGAAAGAAAAAGGTCCCAGGAGGGGTGCTTCCTTATCCCCATTCTTCCAACCCAGGCTCCCTTGAAAGGAAAAGAGGAAAAGGTACTGAGAAGGATGCTTTCTTAACACCATTGCTCAAGGAGCCCACGGTGGCGCAGTAGGTTAAACCCCTGTGCCGGCAGGACTGAAGACCGACAGGTCGCAGGTTCGAATCCGGGGAGAGGAGGATGAGTTCCCTCTATCGACTCCAGTTCCTCATGCGGGGACATGAGAGAAGCCTCCCACAGGATGATAAAAACATCAAATCATCCGGGCGTCCCCTGGGCAATGTCCTTGCAGACGGCCAATTCTCTCACACCAGAAGTGACTTGCAGTTTCTCAAGTTGCTCCTAACATGACAAAAAAAACCATTGCTCAAACCCAGACTCCCTTGAAAGGAAGAAAGGAAATGATCCCAGGAAAGGAAAGGGTAGCCTCATAAGTTCCCCATTCCCACCAATGGGCCGAATTTTCCTGGATCTTTTCCCATTAGTCAATTTTCAGGAGGCTCCCAAAAATGGATCTGGATATCCAACAAAATTCGGATACCAAAAATGGATTGCCCTCCAGCTAAATTGCACAAGCCTTGTGGGAAGGATAGTAGAAATGCGGGATTAGGAGAACAAACTTTAAAATTGTGCATTCCATTGCATATTAATCAGAAATGCTATTTTGGCTATGTTGATGTTGATGTGGTAATGTGGAAAATGATAGATTTGCATAAAGCCCAAAGGAGTGGATTGATGATAAATTGGATATGATAGGTTGGTTATTTGGATTGGTGAGAATCAATCTTTAATTGGTGGCTTTAGCTTTTCAAAATGAGGTCTCTAATCCCTTTCCCCTTCTTTATAAAAACAAATCGAATGATAGCTGGCTCCATTTCTTCAGTGTGTGTGTATATGGCGGGGACGAGGGACAGGGCCTTCTCTGTGGTGGCCCCTCGGCTGTGGAACTCCCTGCCTAGGGATATTAGATCAGCCCCCTCCCTCCTGACTTTTCGGAAGAGAGTAAAAACCTGGCTCTTCGAGCAAGCATTCGGAACCCCGGAATAGATAGTCAAGCTTGAGATGGAGAATGACCCAGGAACGGCCAAGACGATGAAACGGATGAGGATTGGAATGAGAGGATATAGCTCTTTTTAAACTGTTATTGCACTGTCTTTTTTGTCTAAATGCACTTGTTTTTGCTTTTTGAATGTATGTATTGATGGCATCAAATTGTGCTGATATGTAGACCACCCTGAGTCGCCTGCGGGCTGATATGGGCGGGATATAAATAGTGTAAACAAACAAACAAATAAATAAATATGTGTGTGTAAATCAGTACTGCACAATTTTTCATTTAAAAAAATGTTAGTTTAACCTAGGGAAATATTAAGATATGCCTCTATTTCCACACCACCATCACCAAATTCTCATTCAAAAACCATTTTAGAAATGAAAACAAACAAACAATTAAATCCAGAACATAAACTAGGTGAATTCTTTTGCTTTCCATAACTATCAGCTGAATTATTTTGCTTGCTCTTGTTAAAATAAATTGACATTCAATAACATTTTCTCTTTGTTTCCTCTCACTCCTCACAAAAATATAGGCAATAGACCAAGATGCAGAAGAACCCAATAACATAGTCGATTATTCCATTATGCAAGCAGATCCAGCCAATGTGTTTGATATAGACCAAAACACTGGGGAAATAAAGCTGAAATCCTACATAAGATCCTTGGACATCATTCATAACATCACCAATAACAAAGATTGCATATGGTCAGTGGTAGTTCAAGCCAAAGATCGCGGCTCTCCTTCATTTAGCACCACAGCTGTCCTGAAGATTGATATCACAGAAGAGGTAAGCAGACAGCACACTAGGGGAAAATGTGAGAGCAAGTTTTTTGCCTGAATAACAAAAAGCAGTTAGTAATGCACCAACGAGACTATATTAAGTATATCGAATCTTGGTTGAAAGGAAGAGGGGAATATTTTCAACTGAGAAGCTGATAGTGTCCCGTTCCCTTCTTCCCTTTACAGTGATGCACTATTACTAGGGACTAATAATTAGATTTACTTCTGAACTGGTTTGAGGATTCACAATGCCTTGGTCACCGTGGTTGATGATCTGCAACAAGAACTAGGTAGATTGTATCCTCTTGGTTCTTTCCAATAGTATTCAGTTTCTCCTAGTACCATTATGGTATGTTTCTGAATCAGCTGGACATATTGCAAGTGGTTTTTCTTTTTTGCTGATTCTGGTCTTCCTTGAAGGATAGATTCCTGAAAGTAGTGCTTATATATATATATATATATATATATATATATATATATGTATATGTATATGTATATGTATATGTATATGTATATGTATATGTATATGTATATGTATCTGGATGAAATCCCTGAGAAACGTTGTTCATAGGCTGGGAGAGTGGTGTAGGGTGACAATAGAACTCTATCTATATTTGTCAACTGAATCCTGGAAGGGAGTGGAGATAACCGGTGCCTTTAATAGCCCACAAAATGGGTTGGCAAGCCACCTGGACAAGATGGGAATGATGTTGGTCAGTAAGAAAACTGATCTCAGATTAGAGATGACTTCTTGGGAAGGAAGTGAGGTACCTGCTATAGAAGCAGATTCTCAATTTTAGGATGCTTCTGGATCGACTTCCATCTGGTGGTCATGGTGACTACAACATCCTTTTGCTTAGCGTTCTTGTAGAAGGCAGGTTTGACTACCATTTCCTTTGAACTATAATAACATGGTAAAATTTGTAAAATTTTGTAATTTTTTGTAAAATGGCTTAGAAATTGCTTAAGTGATTGCAGAATGCTGCTGTTGATGGGGGTCTCTTAGAAAATGCTCTGGCTTTTTTGTTACTTAGCAGTCTATAAAATATATATAAAGAATGAATCGTGTCAAGATGGTAGGAGGAGAGCAAAATGTCCACCCCATGTGTTATCCCTGCCTATAAAACATTATTGTTCTGGGGTTTGGTGGAGGGAGGAATAAACTAGAATAAACTTTGTATCAAGATCTGTGAGGTTACAATTTCAAACGTCATGAGATATTTCTAATCAATCAACCTTTCTTTCATATATGATTATAGTCAGACCCTCAATTTTCTGGGCTATACTCCCCTCCCCCCAAGAAGTTGAAAACTGTGAATATCTCTGGGGAGGGAGAAATGAGGTGATGTAACTTTGGTCTTTGGAGATGGGGAGGAGCTACCTCCTGTGATCCCAGGAAAAATAGGAGGGAGAACAGGCCCCATGCACTGCTACCACTTCACATATCCTGTAGATCTTGCTCCTCTCCTTTTCCTGTGTATGTTTTGCCCAGGGAAATGAAGCAAGGTACTGATTGAAACACACCTGCTCCCAAAGATGGGACTGCCCTGTGAACTTTCATATGGCAGTCTGATCTTCAGGAGGTAAGTTGGGAGGCTAGTCATCACTTCTCCCCACCATGCCCATCTTCTAAATAGCACCTCCCCAATTACTTCCTGAGGACAGAGCTGCCATGTTCCAATGGCATCATCACCAGTTTCAGAAACCAGACATGGTGGTCCAATCTGACAAATGATCAAAAGCATGACAGTGAAACTCATGAATGTGCACAGCCAACATGTACATGTCTGCCAGTTATGTTCATGATAGCTCACCCCACAAAATGTGATCTCATTGCTGTTAATAGCAGCCACCAGGGCTCCATCAAGCAATCTACTTTAAATACTGATTTGTATTAATTAAGCTTTGCAAATTAATAATGAAAGAGATTAAAATTTTCCCCAACCCAAGCTTTATTATCCCTAGAACTTAAAATCTTCAGGGCTTCACATGATGTTCCTACACCCTAGCTTTCAATATATTGCTTGTAATTTCCTCAGCAGTTGCTTGAAAATATGAATTGTTGAAGGCTTTCATGACCGGAATCACTGGGTTGTTGTCAGGAGAGAATGTTTCTAGAACATGGCCATAAAACCTACAACAACTCAGCTTGAAAAATTGATTGTAAATCTTCAGTCTCTTGACTTTCTAGACTAGGTCCTGTTGCTTTTTGTCTTCTTGTTGTACCTTCATGGCAACTGCATTTACCCTTGTAACAATGGGGCATGAATGATTCTGTGACCTCTCTCTTTAAGGCTGAGTTAAACATTTTCAGAAGCAAAAAAGATCAGCATATGTCATTGGAGAATCATTTCAGATGGAAATAGCATGATCAAAACCAACAGCATGCAAATGAGGCCTCTTCTTTGAATTATGTACTCAGGCTGTCACTGAATGCATCTGTTCCTCTTTCATTGTATGTGACCCACCCCTCTGCTTCCTACAGACCGAGCCACTGTTTTTTCCTTTTGAAGCAAAAGCTTCTTTGACAACATAACTAGAGGTGCCCAGCAGTGTTAATCACGTTGAGTAATTAAACAGCCATATTTTTGATTAACATTTACCACCACAATTAGCATGAGGCTGCTCCCTTTGAGATGGATGCCTTGAGGCTAGGCATGGTGCCATCATCCTTCTAAAGATCTGTTGCTCTTGGAACAATACAGTGATTTAAAAAAAATCCCCAGGCATTTTAATTTAATGGATTCATTATTGGAAAATGCCATCGATTACAAAACAATTTTTAAAGAAAAAGATGTACTAAAGAACATAGGCTATTTACTTCCATCTGACCTTGATTACAGATATTTTTATGACATGATTGTTCTGTAGCCTGGAACCAGTAGAGTGGTTCCTGATGCCCTGCAAGAACTATTCTACTTGACTATGTAAAAAGCCATTACAATTGGGATTAGTAAGGTTGACAGTCATGAACAGACCAAAAGTAGGGACTCTGGCCTACCAAATGCTGGTAGACACCAGATCCCATCAGTTCCACCCAGCACAGTAAGTGGGTCATGTGAAGATCATTGCATTCCCAAAATAGCTAGAGAACTACATATTTCCCACCTCTGGGTCTCAATCCTGAACAAGGCAAAATGTTAAAGGAACACTGTTTCCCCAAAACCATTTTGTCACCTGAGGCAGTGGCCACACACTACCTCATAGAGATGATTTTTTCTGGGTTGTTGTAGGTTTTCTGGGCTATATGGCCATGTTCTAGAGGCATTTTCTCCTGACGTTTTGCCTGCATCTATGGCAAGCATCCTCAAAGGTAGTGAGGATACTACCTCTGAGGATGCTTGCCATAGATGCAGGCGAAACATCAGGAGAAAATGCCTCTAGAACATGGCCACATGGCCCGGAAAACCTACAACAGCCCAGTGATTCCGGCCATGAAAGCCTTCGACAATACATTATTTTTTCTGCAGGTATGGTAATAACTGCTTGTGTTAATGGTTCAATTAACTTAATAGCAAATCCTCAGTAAGTTTCCTTCCTTTATTTGTTCATCAATTCATTGTATATTCAAGACATATTTTGAGAATGATTAAAAAATAAACTAAAATATATAAAACAAAATGCACCAATAAAAGAGTATTATGCAATGCAGTTGCATAAAATATCTCATGTTATAAAAAGTCTAGGAAAATAGAGAATTGTTGGTAGTTAAAATTGCAACTCTCTGGAGGGAGAATTATATAACATGTATCTCACAAATGAGAAGCACTTACATACAGTTGCTATCAACCTCACATCTGATGGTGGGAGCGGCCAGAGGAGGACTTACACCAGTGATGTGGGGTCAACTCATCCTTCATATCATATTAGATAATATCAAAGGAGGGCACCAAAACTTTGAATTGTGCAAGTACAGTTATTCACGCACTGTCAGATAGGGTCTCAGTTATTAGACATGCAATTCCATTTTGTACTAAGTTTAGATTCTGGACCATCTTCAGAGGCAGTCCCACATTCACTTGATGTTCAAAGATGGAGGTTTTCACAGTAGTCAGATTGTGTCTATCTAGGAAATACTATGATTTCAAAATATTTTCATGTATATATAGATATTCAAATACATGGGGTGAGAGGGGGATTTTCCCACAAACCCTAAGCATAAATGCCACTCAGCCAGATCTGCACTTACAATCAAAATCACTGCATCAGTACACTTTAGATTCTGACAGACAGTCTATCCAAAAAGATATTGAAGCTGATAATATCAGAAGCCTTTGGGAGACCTGGGAGATATAGCTTAGCCAAACCAATCTCTTTTCTTAGCATAAGTCCATGTCAGATAGTGAATGATGATGGGCTTTTTGTTTTTGTTTTAATCCATCTAAAATAGACCTTCATGCCACCTTGTGGTGTGGTGAAGCGGGATTTTTTAAGATGTGGCAAAGTGGGTTAAAATAATCCGCTTTGGTGCAAGCTCTAGTTTACACCCACCCACCCACCCATACTCTGGGCTTTCCCTAGGGGGAGGGGGTGGCTACATGTCATCCTGATTGAAATTGGGATGGAATGAAGCCAACCCGGTCCCCCATTTTCCCTGTAAAACTTACTAAAAAAGGTCCCTTGCAGCTCTTCGCATTCTCCTGGAATGAGAAAATGACACCAGAGGAGATGGTAGGGACAAGGAGGGCAATCCCCCCCCCCCAGTCTCCTCAGACATCATTTTCTCACACCAGGGGGATGCAAGGAGAGGCTTTATGGCAGCAAGGGACCTTTTTAGTAAGTTTTAGGGGAAATCAGGAGCTGGAGAGAAGGAGTGAACCCAAAGAGTGCAGGATGGCTGTGGAGTCTGACCCCCAGTGTTGTGGTCTGCAACCCCGAAAGTGTCCCCACAGAACCAATACTTTATTAGACCAGGGCCTTTCAGAAAGGCCCAAATCTAATAAGGTATTTAATTCAGAATAAATTCTAAATTAATTCATTTATACCAGAGGAGTTGTTTGGACACCTTCGGTAAAAACTGAGACAGGTCCCATATTTTGTGCCCACCAGGATGGGCCCTTAGATGACATTCAGATGACATATTTTTAAGGCTCTTAACTTTATGCCCAAGCAATACAGGCAGAAAAGGGATTGCAAATGAAATGGCTGTTGTAGCAACAACACACCTGCATAATTATGTTATGTACAGTCCCATCTAATTTTATTGGTCAATAGAATTCTTATAATGCTCCTTGGATTCAAAGCAACTGAAGAAACAATCCTGGTCATTCATATATATATATATATATATATATATATATATATATATATATAATGCTGAAGGTGCTTTTCTGTGCATAGACTTCTTTGTATGCAGAATGTAAAGCTCATCAGGGATAATCTTATTCAAAGTCCCTATATAGTAATTGTACTCCAGCTACCAGTTAATCTCAGAAACCTTGATGATCAGTGGGAAAACACTCCCATTGACTTGGACTTGGTTATGTTCTAAGGCAGTGGTTCTCAACCTGGGATCCCCAGATGTTTTTGCCCTTCAACTCCCAGAAATCCTAACAGTAGGTAAACTGGCTGGAATTTCTGGGAATTGTAGGCCAAAAGCATCTGGAAACCCCAGGTTGAGAACCACTGTTCTAAGGCTTCAATCCTTTGTGCTGCTGTAATTACTTACTGCTACCAGGACCTGTCCTACAATTAAGCAAAGTGAGGTAACTACTACCTCAGGTGGCAAATGCTGGGAGATAGCAGCAAGGGGTTGAGGAAAGAATGTTGTCTCCTCACTACCTCTGAGGATGCTTGCCATAGATGCAGGCGAAAATGCCTCTAGAACATGGCCATATTGCCCGAAAAAATCTACAACAACCCAGTGATTCCAGCCATGAAAGCCTTCGTCAATACAATGTTGTCTCACATCCCTACATTAAGCTATCACTCTTGTGTGTGATAAGGGATGATCTTCCATTAGCAGTGTTGAAGAAAATCAACAGCCAGTATACTCACCCATTATATACAATAACATCATCTTGTTCTTTCACTCAGAGAGCAAAACATATTGGGCATCCCCCCCCCCCATTATGTTTCCACCGTTCTAGCATCTAATATTAAGTAAGAAAGGATACACAGATGTTAAAAATGAGTGGTGCATGTATGCCGCTCTGAGTCCCCCTCGGGGCAAGAAGGGCACAGTATAAATACAATAAATAAATAAATACTGCAGAGATGTGCTATGTGATTTGATGTAGGCTTTATATTAATAACCTTTTTGCCTAACAAGGAACTTCTGATTTTGCCAAATCCAATATAAATAACAGAAGCTTGTTTTTTTATTGTTTTGCTGGTCAAGTAATGAATACTATCTGCCTATTATAGTTCACACTCCATTTCCAGCTGTGCCTCGAGGCTCAGGAATCCCCAGGTGAAAAAAAAACCCAACAGATTTCATATATCAGGTCTGGGTATACCCAAAAATGCTCCATTCCTGCACATGCTGTGCTGCAAGGATAATAACTTTAATTATTTACAGTATATCCCACCCCCTCTCCCCAAAAAGATTTAGGGATGGGCAAATGGTGGCCTGGAAACAATATGTAGCCCTTGTGTGATTCCTGAAGCCTCCCAGAAGCCTGAAAAATCCAACCTACATGATAAGAAAAAGTCACACATCCCCAAACACCCCAAAACCATCAGTGAATGTGTGAGTTAGGACTTCATCACATGGACTTACAGATTTGTAGAGAAGCGTGGGGGTCTGTCCCTATAGCAATGGCAATAATGCTTTTCAATTGCAAATCGCTCAATGAAACGTTTACTTCTTCCTATACCACTGTTTTCTTGAAGCATTCTTGACCCCTTATTGCTCGCCTTCACATTTATCACATGGAGGAATGCTTGTCAAGTCCTCTCTGCTTTTCTTCCTTCTCTATCAGCCAAAAACCCTTTCTTTTTCTCTTTTTTCTTCGCTGCCCTTGCTACTGCCTCCCCAAAACACTGTTCTCCCTGTCTGCACCAGCTCTTTCTGGCTTTGCAGCAACAAAATGGGACGAGGAAGGATCCTTCCCATCCCACATGTTTTTAGCCTTAAAGAGAGGATCAAATTGCAGTAGCAGCTCACAAGACAATTACTCACCAGTAGTGGGAGCTCCTTCCTTTAGGTTCATTTCAATGATGGATGGGAACACATGATGGTGGGAAGTACTTCAACATAATGTGATGGGCTTTATGCCTTTCCATCATTGAAATGAGCCTGAAGTGGACTGGAAAATAGGTCAATAGGATGAGGTACTTAGTTTTCAACCACCACCCTCCGAAAAGTCAAATAAATGGCAACAAGAGTTGATGATTCATCACGTTCAGTCTTCTGAAACACAACAGTTTAGCCCCTCAAAGAGTAGGAGTGGGGGGGGGGGTATGAACCCCCTCCAATTGCCCACCCCTGCTATACAATATACCCACAAATCCATAATTAGGAAGATTGTAGCTCTTCTTATCTTCTGTATTTCCCTCTTTGATTCTGTTTTTCCTTGCTTTAGTCACCTAATCATTCTGTTTATTTTATTATGAACAACCTCAGACATTCAGTCAGTATTCCAAAGGTAGTTTATAAGTTTGTAATACAAATAATTCCCCTTTCTTGCATCAATTTTCTCATGAAGGGTTAGACATATCAATTAGCTCCTCAAAAACTACACTGAAAAGAGGGTGGGGAATACAACTTTAGTTTGTGGGCTGTTTGATTATAATTATTATTTTTGACATTTTCAGATCAAATCAAGGGTAAGATCCTATGTCTTGGGCCTCAAGAGACGTCCATGGACAATATTTGGGATTTGCATGAGTGGCATCGCTTCCACCATTTCTTTAACCATGATGATCTCCACCATCATGTATTGGAAAAGTGTGAAAAAATCCAGACTTCATCCTCTGGCTAAAATCAGGAAAATTAAACGGGGACCACCACGGCATACTGTGTGCTAAACTGCTAAATGAACTGTTTATTCATTTGTCCTCAATATGCCATATATAAAAACTTACATTACCTCTTATTTAACTCTTGGAATTTTTTAGAAAACAATTTTTTAATTCAAATCTGTTTCTTTACCTCAGAATGATGGAGCAGTTTGTTTTATTTTTTGTAATGTCTGTAAAAGAGTACTAGAAAGCAGAACATGCTCAGTTTCTGCCCCTCAAAACTGATTGAACACTCTCAAAATTGAAAATTGAAAACTTACTCTATTGATTATTCAGCTGAGAGAAGTCTACTGCTAATATTTGCTCTGAGAATTCTGTGTTACTTTGGGGGAATTCTGAAATGCACCTCAAAGAAATAACGACCACCTTTGGTATATCGGGTCCTCTAAAATTATCTCAGAGAGATGGCTTCTCTTAAAATAATCCCAGGAATTATAGTTTATCTTTGTGTTTAGCATTTTCAACTGTTTGTGAGAAGTTCCTTTTTCACAAAACAGCAGCTCCCAGGTTGCCATGGGAAGAGGAAGTAATTGTTAAACCAATTTGTAGTATAGATACTGTATTCCCTTGGCTGTACACTACAGGGGCTCCAATGGTTTTTCTTCCACTTGCAAGAACAGATTATAAAGTCTTGCATATGAATGGTTCAAAACTATTGCAACATCCTGGGTGAAAGGCTCCACTCTTTAATTTCTACAGTTCAATACTGTGGGAGCATTGCCTTTAGCCTTTTGATATTAAACCTGAATTACAAATGCCAAATTGGAGACAGTGTGTGGGTATGGTGGTCAACCCTGGTTGTCACATATTTTGGACAAATGAAAATGCTGTCTCTGTCTTTGCCCCAGAGTAAGTCACATGTTCTCTTTGTACTCTTTTACAGACTCTCCACAAAGGGCCTATGGCCGCCTTTTTGATGCAAACAAAAGATAACCCCATGAAAGCCTTAGGAGTGCTAGCTGGTGTCATGGGGGTGATGGTGGTGATCACCATCTTGATCTCCACTGCCATGTTCTGGCGCAATAAAAGGTCCAACAAAGTCATGCCTGTGCGACGGATCATTAAAAAGAGGCAGAACTATCAACCCAGGACAATCAGGATGGAGTGGCTGAAATTCAAGAGGTCCAGCAGTGCTGCAGAAAAGTTTACAGTACAAGAGGATGCCAAGAGCCTGCACAATGAGAACAGCAATAACAACTTCCAGGTGCCACCACCTCCACCACCACCGACTGCTCCGGCCCTGCCTCCAGCCTCGGCTTTCAAGACTCATGCCTCTGAATGGAGAGTGCCCACAGTATCAGGATCATTGAGCCCTGACAAGGTTGTAAGCAAGCTGAAGAAGAAAGGGGGCACCACTTGCATGTCACACAACGCCCTGGTGTCAGAACTCAAGCAGAAGTTTGAATTGAGAAATGCAGTATCTGATCAACTCCAGGTTTAATGCATATTCCTGCTCCAAACGCTGCATGTCAAGTATGTGGGTGTATCTCCAGGGACATGATGTGGTCTGTTCTTTTGTATTTTGTACCAATGTCTCATCATCTCACAAGCTACACATGCTCTCTATTTCATACCAGTATTTCACAGTCATTTGCTTGTACTGCATGACAAGACATATCCTATTTCACTAAGGAATTGTTTCATCTATAGCGCTGTGACAATGCATGATGTAAATTTGTTAACTTCTATCCATATTATTGGTACAAGGTCAGTTGTCTGTGATATGCCAAGATGATTTTGTTCTGATTTTGAGCAACATTTGTTTTAAGAAATTTCAGTTCTTAAAAATCCAATCTGAAATATTTTAAAACTTTGACTTTTCTGCCACAAAACTCCAGATATAACAAAGAAGTATCAAAAAGACTATGGCTGTCCTATCTTCTAGCAGTCTCAATATGTGGACCATTGAAATTTGTTCGGTCCTGGATCTACTTCAGAAATTGAACTGCCCCAGCTAGCATATGGGGATCTAGCCTCAAATGTAGCCCAGGGAGAGAGAAATTGATACCATGTAGACTTTTAAGCAAATTGATTGATATGACCCAAGTGAAACATGACTGCTGTAATTTGGGCGGATCTTGGATGTTTGGATGCAGTATAAAGTAATGTTGAGGACAGGAGCAAAAAGACAAGAAAAGCTAAAAAGAGCTGGAAGGTATGCCTTCATTTCAAAGGGACGTTTAAGTAAGCACATTTAGGATTACAGTAGATGATTGTGTCTTTTTCAACAACTTGTGAAACAACATGTCCAACATTTTAAGCTTCTCCCAATGTGAGCATGCTGGCTTGGCCAGCAATCTTTCCTTCTACAGAGATTTGGTTGAGCTGAAACATGCTTACAAGAATGTTATTAAAGGAAATGAGTTAGAAGGAAAATATAGGGATACCCATCTAAAAAAAAACCCTGAAAATTTTAATAAAATTTAATAAATGTCATTGTTACTCACCACCTTGATCCATGGGGAGAGGCTGGTAAGAAATAAATGTTGCTGTTGCTGTTGTTGTTGTCGTCATTGCTATTCATTTCAGCATACAAATATTGAAATGCCTCAATATTTTGATAGTGATGTGAATGACAATTTGATCAAATTGACTGCATTTTCTTGATATTCCATTGAATGAAAATGTTATTATTCCCAGTTGGATCTACTTGCTATTTATTCCAAACATTTTAAAGTGGTTAGACATACATTGGTCAGCTGTACCAAGGGATCTGGTAGCTGCCTCCTGGTTATTTTCCTTTTGTGATCATCATTCAGGACATTTTGGAGAGAAAATAGTAGCCTGCACACAACACACATACATATATAAACAAGGGTGCTGCCATTGAAACTGTCTCCTTTGAACAAATAAGCTTGTCACCCTTTGCTCTCACTGACAGATTGGCATTTCTTTGCTATACAAATTTGTTTCTTGGAAAGTTGTAGCTTTCATGTGAGATGAATGAAAATACTTTAAAAAATAATATAAGATAATATGCCAAACAACATTCATCTGCCCTCTGTCAAGGAACAGGCAGCATAGCAGAATTTATACTGAATTTATACGTGGGAGATATATACATTGTCTTCATAGAAGTGCCAGCAGTTTTTACTGGGATGATGTTTCTAGAGAAGAAGACCATTCTTGGTAGAATGAGAGGTGTTGAGACTCAACCATTATTTAAGGTCACACCCTCTGACCTGAAAATCTCATTTCTCATCCTACAAAGAATCTAGTTATAGGTAGTCCCCGTGTTAAAAACATTCAACTTACAAATGAATCCTTACAACTTACATATTAAGTACTGGAGTGAGACAACAGGAAGTTAGAGAAATCTAACCCTAAGAAAGGAAATTCACTCCTGAAAGAGTTATCATGGGGAAAGGGTATCTCCACTGAGACTTTCTCACTGATCCTTGTTTCCACAACAAGCAATTTTTTTCAAAATGCAGGTACAGAAAGTCAGGTGAAATCTTCTGAACAGGAGCACAGACAGAAAAATAAATACTACAGGAGTGTTAGCCCTTCTCTGTGCTATCCAAAATTTATAGATGGTTTCACTTAAAATGTACCTGTTCTAGTAGATACAAATTCAACTTGCGAACAAACCTCTTGCTCATAACTTGTGAACTGCCTGTACTCATTGCATTGTCTGAAGTACTCCCAGTTTTATTATGACTTCACTTGGACCTGTGTTACCTCTAAATCCAAACCCTTTGTGGTGGCCTTGGAGGCCTGACTATATCTAGGGCAGCTCTTTTTCCTGTTAAGCCCTCCAGAAAATACCAGATAGTATTCTTGTCATAGAGAACAATTCATTGACTCACACACTCAATGTTATTCAGGATTGATTTGTGAATCTATTAGGAGACGTATTGCTCCAGATCAGTGGCATAAAACTCTTTCAAACAAGTGGGAAGTCAAGTTCTCTTTATATTGAAAGACAGAACTGCTCCCTATGTACTGCAAAGTTGTTGTTTACAGCATTTATGAGCATTTTAACCACTGAATGTTTCCATTTGTTGGTTTTGTGGGAATTTCAAGTAGGAGAAGAAAGTAAGGTCTTACACAGAAAGAATGTGAAAAATTCTATTATATCAAATTGTTGGGATAGTTGAGGAAATATGGTATCAAAAATGTATGTTGGTGTAGAACCAAGAAAAGAACATATGTGAATAAGAGTTTTTTTTAAAAGCAAGCTTACAAGCATTCTTGTTGTGTGTATAATTTAGTCGAACCTCTATTCTGGTGTCACTGATAACCATCATAGTAAATACATCACATCCTGGCATGTGTAGTATACATAGAAGATATAAAGTGTTGTGCACTGTGGCTTACTTACCAAAAGTGGTGTGAGAAGAGAGAGTAACTTTTTTTGTTTGCTTGCTTATTTAACTGGAAACATATATCTTTTGCATGTTCTACATGTCAAGACACATAAATATGTGTGCATGAAATGAAACTTCCTGTGATGGGTCAGCACGAAACAACACTGACTAGAAGGGGGAGGATTGTGATTAGAAAGGATCCGAAAATGTCTGAGAGAGACAACAATAGTTTTGATCAGGGAACAGGTTCTCAGTTTCAGTCCAGAACACCTATAACACCATTTCAATTTCTATCTAAAACATCCATAACACAGTATGACCCTTGTATCATTGAGACCAACACCTGCAGTTTCACATATCCGCTTCTAACAAAATATTATTTAAGACCTTCAGCACAACTGGCAATCCTTCATTACAATAGGATTCACTATTATCAATGGTTATATAGATCCATACAAAGCTTTCAAATGTATCCTTCCCAGATACGAAGGTCATACTCTATATATTTGCATTGTTCTTCTATTAGATTACACTATATTCCCAAATGTGCAGCCTGTGCCCTCATGATCACCTCTACTGTGGAAGTTTATCAAATCTGGCTGCATAAGATATTCAGATTCTAGGAACTGTATACAAGCAATTCTGAACTCTAAGGAGGAAAACTTAAAACAAAGTGCCATAAATAACTAGGAGAAAAGAAGTCCATTATACCATCTAGAGGTCCACATTAAATCCAGCTGAAGTAATGGTTTCTAAATAATACAATGCCAATCTCTTATTTCTAAATCGACTGAAATACTTAACCAAAAGTTCCTAACGATTGTACTGCTCTTTTCTTTTCACAATGACATATTGCCATAAGGAACAATGTTTATGCGGCAACGATCAAACGGCTCTAGCATTACCACTGCTTGTAATTTATATGGATTGTTCATATTTTTGAAACACTGTCCAAATAGCAGTTAGAAAGCTTATTATAGTCACAGAATGTGGCCATATTTTTGTGAAATCAGATTTTTATGCTGAAAGTTTAATCCATTATCCATTTCATTTTTAAATGATGCTTTTAAAGTAGAAAAGTAACGCTGCTGGAAGCTGAAAAGGGCTACAGCAGGTCATACATTTAAGAAATGCAAATGTATTTTTTCATATTTCTTTCTGGAATTTTCATCCAAAACAGTGGGTGGGGAACATGTAGTTCTCAATCTGGCACCTTTCATAATTCCTTGACATTGAATAGAGCTGATGGGAATTGCAATCCAAGGACATCTAGATAGCCACATGTTCCAGTACCATGAGCCAGGTGTTATTGTGTCCATTGGTTTGTATTCTTGACCTCTTTTCCAATGTACTACTTCATCACTTGAAAAAAAAATTCAACAAACATGCAAAATACTTTTTTCCTGCTCAGAACAAGCCTATTTGTCATTCTGTGGTTGTTTAGTATATGCAATCTTTTATTTCTCATTTTTCTTCCTGTAATAAGAGGCCCACCTGCATGTCAAATGGTAGGACTGGAAGATTAAATCATAGTAACCCTCTGTAAGTAAAGTGTTTAAGAAAAACATTAGAGTATAGGTTGAAAATTTGTTTTTATTATACAACATGCAGTTTTTTTCACTGAATACAGTGTTTTTGATAATAAAACTTGCAAAATGCACCCATTACCTACCATAATTCTGATGCTTTAGTGTATTCTTTTCATAATTGGTTCTTTGTAATATTGTGATTATGCTGTGCCAGAAAAACATTGTTTCAACGTAATCCAGATGCTGCCAGAAACCTTCAGCCAAAGAACTGGCTACTTACTGCCAGAGGCGGCCCTAGGTAATTTTCAACGGTAAGCAAACAGTATTTTGGTGCCCCCCAACCATTCACTGATATATATTTTCTGTTCGTCGTGGGAGTTCTGTGTGCCATATTTGGTTCAATTCCATCATTGGTGGAGTTCAGAATGCTCTTTGATTGTAGGTTAACTATACATCCCAGTAACTACAACTCGCATATGTCAAGGTCTATTTTCCCCCAAGAGCGTCCCTGGGCAAAATCAACTATACTGCAAATGCTTACTTTGCATAATGGGTTAGCCGCATTCTGAACCCCATAGCACAGGGACAAGTGCATTTCCAATGATAGAATTGGGCCAGACTTCCCACACAGAAGTCCCATGACCAGCAGAAAATACTGTGTATCCTGATAGTCTTTGGCGACCCCCCCCAGGGGTCCTGACTCCCAGGTTGAGAAGCACTGCTCTAAGGGTTTTGAATGAAAATATAGCCCCTTCCAATCTACAGATCTCTCTGGCGAAGGGAATCATACCTTTCGATCCTCAATCATTGTGTACCCTGTCTTCCCATCACTATCTTCCCATCATTCATGTTTCCCACTTCAGTTTCCTCCTGGTTGTTGGCCACATTCGAACCATCACATCGAGAATCCTTTCCTCCTTCCTCTCCATATTACTTTATTTAATCAGGGAAAACTTCAATATCAAAAGCCAAAATTACTATAGACTTCATTCCATTTTGGAGGAAATTTTAACCCTTTTGGCATGGTAAGATTTTTCCTATGCCTTCCCGCCCTCCATTATAGCAATATAATTATAAACAACTTTGCTCTTATTCCCTATTGCAAGATTGTGTTTTCCTTCATTAGACTAGTGTAATTATAAACCACTTTGCCACAATTCCCTCCTGCTAGGCTGTGCTTCTCTCCAGTAGATCAGTGTTATGTTAAAAACTAGCAAGAGCACAATTTCAAGCCTAGATTATATTAAGAAGAAAATACAGCCAAGTGGTGAGGAACACCCTTTCCTCCACATCAGTGAAATGATTAAACACAAGCAAACCTGTCAAATCCCATCACATGTTTTTCGGCATTAACCAAGGGCTCAGAACATGATTATTCACTCATGTTCTGATCTACCTCCTTCCAGCACATTTCACCTCCATTTCAAGGATGGAGGTCAATGGATTCATCCAGAAGTAGCCCGGATAAAGTGCTCTATAATGAGGGAAACACTCCAAGTGATGCGGTTCCTAGAATACTGTGTCCAGTTCTGGACATCATCATTC